TTTGCCGAAAGTGGTATGAGTACTCAACAATACCCAAGCATGAGTACTCAAAGTCGTACTCAGAGTACTTGTTACTCACTCATGAGTACTCAGGTGAGTACTCAGTGAGTAAAAAAATGTATGAGTATGTATGAGTACTCGTCCGGTTTTTCTAGCAGAGTACTTTTTGAGTACTCACACTGGAGTACATTCACTAGGGCTGTTTACAGAAGGAGTCGAGCGAAAAGTCACCCAAATTTGGGTGACTTTGGCCAAAGTCTACTACTTTCTGTAGACTGAATTTCCAGCGTCTTTTAGGACTCTGATAAGAGAGAAAGTCTCAGAAAGAGTTTTAATTTATGTTTGGCAGGAAGTAAACTAGATGCCAACTACCCTTCAGGAAGATTGGAAAGTCGACCTAGTGGAACGGTAAACAGACGAAATTAGAACATGCAGAAAGTAAGATATGTCAGCTATATCAGCCGATTCATTATCATCATACATTCCAGTCTGCAACATTACTACCGATAGAATGTATCAAACTGTACAGAAGTATAGACTGATAAGTAGCACGCGACTACTTAATGAACTACTCCACATTATTCATACTGAATATATATGACGTTTCACGTGACAGTTAATTATCTCATAGAAAAGTTATTGAAAATATGCTCAACTTTTGGGACTCATTACTTAATAATTAAAACATATATCGAAAAAAAACTTCAGCTGTTTCATCTATAGATCTTGCACTCTAGAATGATCTTTTTCCCAAATCTGTGCGACTAGTGATAGCTGAGAATGAGTGGCTGACTCGAAGCAACAGCTTAATGAGTATTTATAGGAAAAATATCTTTGCAAAAATTCTGTGGTAGAGATGACTCATCCTTTGCTGCGTCTAGACGCGATTTTGTTTTTTACAGAAACTTCTTTTGGGTTCCAGATACCTCCGATCCCGTTTCAGAATATAAAATTTCTTTCTTTCAAAAGTATTTCTTAATACACTTTGCAGAGCTATTTATGATTGAGCAGAATGAAAAATCTACCTAAACGCATTTGAATATACTAAACAAACTGTCAGGCGCGTCTAAAAGCAAATATAACCGTCTTTTGTTTGACGAGCGATATAAAATGAGCGCATCTAGATGCGTTCAAGGTATTTTCTGGTCTCAAGCTAAAAAAGTACATTTAGACGGGTTTGGGCAGTTTTTTTAAAAAAATGAAAAGAAGAACGCACGTGGACGTTCGTCTGTGTGATAAAATTTTCCAGTGGGTAATATTTCTCTGTATATAGACAGTGTACGAAATGTTTTGTTCATTTTCTCGTCTAGGTCCTATTTACATCAGACTGAATGTTGAGTGTTTGAAAGAAAGACTTAGTGATTTAGCCGAAACGGATCAGATTGTCAAATTAAGTATATTTCAAGAACTTATATTAAAACGGTATGTAAAGTGAATATCCTCTTCTAAATGTTGTTTCAGAGATCTATTCAACTGTTGTTTATACTCATTAACGGATGATTTTATTTTTCATTTCTAGTTATGGTTTTATTTTAAATGCTTGTGTTTGTAACAAAAGCGATAGTATTTATTGCGTTCATATTTCTGGTGGCATGCTTGTATATATAATTAGTGATGTATATAACGTACATAAAATTCCATCGCGATTGGTCAGTATAGCGGAAACAGTTCCAGATGATACAAACAAAAAACTGGATATTGGTTTTTATTGGTGTTGGAATTTTTGTTTGGGTAAACGATGGCGAACAACGAGTACCGGTGATGAACGATATCAGGATACCATGTTAGCTGATTTTCGGTCATTTTGTCGAAATGAGAACAATAGAATGGTGCTATTTTGGGATGAAGCATGTGAAAGAGCAGCACAACTTAAAGCTACTGAAAGTAGTCCCTAGGCAATAAAGATGATGATAAACGAGAGCGAATGAGTTATGTGCAATAATAGATGGCAATAAAATTCTTGCACCATAAATTAGCATAGACATGTCTTTTTTTTTACATAGCCTCTTGCCTACGCACAGTGATGTTTTGTTTAAATATACGTACTTTTTTCTTTCTATTTTTTTTCTATAAGAAATTGTACTCGACGTCGGATCTTCTCTTGTTTTGTATAAACTATATTCTTGTGGAAAACTTTTTTTGATACGTTTTTCTATCCACAATAAATTTTATAGATGTATTATAAATGAATAGTAATCAACTTTTTGATAGAGTTTCTAATTTTACGGTAGACACCAAAGTAACTGTCTCTCTGTTGTTTTCATTTTTCAGAATTTTTTGAAAAAACAATATTAAGTTGTTCTGTACTTATGATCGATTTTTTTAGTATAATTGCATTAATTTATAGTACAGACAATCTTCTACGGCTAAGCTAATAACGGGATTGAATGAAACTTAGTTTGAATTTAGCTGTATTGTGCAAAAAGTTTATCAAATATACGGTTTCTGTTATATTATTTGAATATTCGACAACAGTGACTAAGAACTCAGTTTTACAAAAACGTAAGTGGGCGTTTTAAAAGTGGAAGCAAACATGATGCTCATCATTACCAAAAGGTGTCCTTCCTCGCTATTGTTCAGATAAATCTTATATTTTTGTACTACATAAGTTTTTTACATCAAATTTTTATACTAACATTTTTTATATCTTTAAATTGTTGTTGTCTAATACAAATATATATTTATTTGTCATATTTCAGTTACGGTTGATGATTTCGGCAGCTAGAAAGCTTTTTAAGATATTACACCTAGGCAAAAAAAGAATAAGTACTGTATTTTCATGAATACAGTTCAAAATTTTTACTGTCTGTATATTCAAAAAATGACTCCGCTTTACCGTGGTTTGTTCATAACAGCGTAATTGTCATGGACGAGCTGGCTTCGTTCTACATTTGAGGTATTAATTGTGATCACTTGGGTGAGAGAATCAAACCGATTGTGGAGAAGACTGTTTCACTCGGTGCAGGTATGGCGGATTTGGCAAGGAGAATTTGTGCCAATCTTGCTAATCTAGAATATATCGTCTTCGAATATTTCCAGCAAGATAAAATGTCCTCGATCTTCAAATTATGTGTAATAAATCACTAATCTGTACAAATGCAAAATGTTAAGTACACTAGCGCCATCTCTTGTCGAGTAGCCTCAATGTTGTTCGAATAACGCACCTTTAGTTCAGTACTTTCTAGATCTTAGGTGTTTGTGTATTTCAAACTTGTTTATTCTTTCCCCAATTCATCAGTTCATAGGTGCATCGACAGTTATGTTAGGAAACCAATCTGCACAATGTGCACAAAATGGAGGTTTTCTCCTAGGAACTCAAGTGTAAACTCGTATCGCATGATGTGTCATTATTACATTATCAGAATTTCCAGAAATTATTTTTTACACTGTGATATTTTTTATGATTAAAAATATACTGGGCAATGGCCGACATACAGGTAGCAAATAACTTTTGTTCTTAATTTAAAGTCATGAAATTCCTAGCCGATAACCAAAAAACTCTTACAGAACCTGTCAGTAGAATTCTGTTACGAAGATCTTCAGGAGTTTACATTGATATTCTAAGAAACTTCTCTATGACGTGTTATAAAAACAACAACGGAAGATCAAACCTACGGTTTATTTTTTCATGAAAAAGATTCAATGCATGTCCTCCTTATAGAAATTGACGAAAAACCATCAGTTGAGACTCCTTATCAGCTTCTTTAATGATGGTAGGTTAAGCAAGAGCAAAATGAGTTTTCAATCTGTTTTCAGTACGAAAAACATGAATAAATGTGGTGGTAAACTGTAAAGGTCTATTTTGTTGAGAATCCTTATTAAAAACACTACAAAATGTTAGTGAATAATTATTATAAGTCAAGCTTCGAAGAGTTTTAGAATTTTAATGTTTTTAACAAATAAAAAAGTGAAAATGTTAGGAACTACGCAGAATTTTTTCAACTATTATAAAAATAAATCTACAGGGACCATTTTTGAATTCTCTGATTTTTTCCTGATTTGTTTTGGAGTCCTTCAAAACTCCATTAGCTATTCGAAACACTATCTGTTACCGACAACATTGTATCTTTAGAAATTGACCCTTCGCGGAGAAGGTACCAAGGGTAAAGGGACCCATGATCCACTCAAATTTCTTCCACAATTGCCCGATACGCGTGTTAAACCACAATGGACCACACCTCGGTTAGTATATTTAGTAGATACAACGTTTCATACACAAATGAATTCATTCTATTGAATATTTTAGTCCATCGTTATTCATTCCTGGTAAACATAAACTTAACGAAGTTGGCACGGATAGTCAACGATTTTTGCAAGAACTAATTGACCGTAAATTTTATTACTCTTATTTCTATTAATATTCGACAACAATTTTTTCTTCTTAGGTGATCCAAAACGTAAGCGTTTACAAGCTCCACAACGTGCTTCTGAAAGTAAAGCAGAATCAGCTGTACATCGAAAACTTGTAGATACAAAAAAACAACGAGAAGATTTTCGAAAAGCTCTAGTCGACATTGTCACGTATGTTTTTCGAATGAAAACGATTCTAGATCTAGGATTCTTTCTTTATTAGAAATGCTGATAGTGATGAAGCGACTAATCTCAGTAATTTATACACATCTCAAGGTAATATTCCTCCAACAACTGCTGATCTTCCAACTTCCGTTGAAAAAGACATATTAGTAAGTGTCTACGCTTTACTCGATTACAATAATCTCAAGAGTTAATTTGTTTTCAGCGTTATTACTATTATATTCACAATGGAATTGACACTCAGTATGTAGCTGAGCTTGACTCTCATCGAATCAATGATACATTGTCTCGGCTTCCAAGTGAACTACGTCGTTCATGGGAACCATTAGTTAATTCTCTGACGGATGAAATGAAAGAAGATTACCTTTTGAGTGTGAAGAAAGCAATTGGTTTGTTTAATAGTTCATGAAGAAGTTGCTGCTGTAACTGTTTTGTATTTTTTTTCTAGTTGATTTTGTTCTCAGAGATCCACGTGAATCGCAAGAGGAGAAAAAAGAAGAGGTACTAATACATCGTCAAGAACTGGCCGTGTTACCAAAACCATGGCACGCAAGTTTTGTTCAAGCACAAATTAATATGGAAAAGAATCTTCATTCAATCAACTCTACAATGGCACAAGTCCTTAATATGTGGCATAAGAGTGTTTACAAGTATGTGTAGTTCAAGATTTTATTTCAATGTTTCTTTTTGTTTTTCTTCTATAGAATTTTGAAAGTTATTGATGTTGATGAATTTAAAGAAAGAACAGAAGCGGTTGAATTATCATTCTTTCATACCGCCTGTAAACGACATATGGATTCAGCCCGAGAACAATTAGCAAAACGGTATGTCAAACAGTTTCAATCTAGATACATTAATTGAATATTTATTCTTAACTAGTTGGATAAGCGAGATACAAACAATATTTTATCAAGGACATAAACGTGGTCTCGTACCAAGCCAAGATGATCCAAAATTCAAATCATTTTTCAATACTGTTGCCACATTAATGACACAATGTTTACAAGATCTTGCTCTTTACACTATTGAAGATTTAACCAATTTACTTGTAACACCTGAAGGGTCAATAAAAACCTATGAACACTGTGGTAAATATCTTGTATGTGCTTAATAATCAAAATAAAAATCTTTTTTCCCCATTATTTAGGATTTATTGTTAATATGTTTTTAAGCGAAGATGAAATTAAATTTGAACCATCTTACGAAGATTTTGAAGTTGTCTTTTTATCTATGTATGATTCAATTATTAGTAAATGCAGTAATTTACCGCGAATTGAAGCAAAATTATTTTCAGATAGAGCACTCGTAAGAAATCACTTTAACTCTCTAAGGAACTACAATGTTTCTATATTAAATTTAGAATCATGGTGAAGCAAAAAATTTATCACCAGTTATTTTACCATCAATACTAGAATCTCATAAAGAAAAAGTTCGTACAATGTTAAAACGAGAATTTGAGAAACCACGCGAACATGCACGAGAATTTGATTCATTTTCATATTTGATAACGAAACAAGCTGATGTAGAAGTAGAACAATTTCTTAATACTGAACATTCATTCAATGATTATGTGCGAGAAGTAAAAAAATACAAATCAATAATCGATGAAATACAATATAATTTAGAAAAAGTTGTTCGACGTGGAATGTTTGAAATACTTTGTAATGATTTAATTAGAGCTCTAGCGAAACGAGCTGAAAGTTGTATGACAAAATTACTTGATCGAATGGTCAAAGATCATAGGGAATCAGGAGAAGAGTAAGTCAAATTTGTATACTATATATATTACTCTTTTCATTACTATTCATTCTATATAGACTTATTGGAGAATTTGAGAAAATAGCTGAACAAGCGGTACGAACACCTATGAGTACTGCTGAACTAATGGAAATAATTGCCTTTATTTCAAAATCAAAATCACAAACCATACCTGAACTAGAAAAACGTCTTGTACAAGCCAAAGATGAACTATTATTTTTATTAGATAATACAGAATTACCAGCAGCTGATTTAAGATTAAATACAAATATGTTTTCATGGATTGAACGAATGCCAGCAGCATTTGAAGAACACGCAACAATTGTAAAAGATAAAACGGAAAGTTTTAAAGAAGGTTTAACAGTAAGTTATATTCATTACTGATAGACAATAAATTTTATTTTATCTTAATTTATAGTTAAAACGTGAACGATTTGTAGAAGAATTAGATAATTATGCCAAACAAGTTGAAGAACTTCAAGAATTAGGAAATATTAAAGAATTACCACGTTATCATAAAAAAGCACAATATTTAGAACAAAAATTGATGCAAGCAGCTGAACGAGTAAGTTCGTGATGGGAAGAATAACAGTAGACAATATTTTATAAACATATACTTTTTAGATTGAACAATTCAATATTGAAGAAGAATCTTTTGGATGGGATACAACAAATTATCCAATAAGACAGCAGACATTAAATCAACTTCAACCCTATTCAAAACTGTATGAATCGGGTGTTGACTTTACAACGAAACTTGTGTAAGTGAAATAGATACAAATAAAAATAGTCAATCTCATTTAATAGACTTTAATTTTATAGTGAATGGACAGAGGGATCAATGACAAAAGTTCAACCCGATCAAGTAGAACAAGATGTTGGAAATTATGAAAGACAATTGTTTAAATTAGAACGACAATTTGCCAATAATCCACAACCACGTAAAATGGCTAATCGTTTACGTGTACAAGTAGCAGAATTTAAAGAAAAAATGCCATTAATTCAGACAATGTTTAATCCAGGTATTATTTATAGATTAAAAATTATTTGTTTATAAACGTTGTAGTATCGTTTGTTTTCTTTAGGTTTACGTGATCGACATTGGGAACAAATAGCAGATGTTATTGGTCAACCATTTAAACCGGATGAAGAAACAAATTTAAATAAAATAATTGAAATGGATATAATGTCATTTATACCAAAATTAGAACAAATTAGTGAAGCAGCATCGAAAGAATATTCATTAGAAAAAGCCATGGAAAAAATGAAAAAAGATTGGCTAAATGTATAAATTTCTTTCTATGATTTTTTTTTTTTAATTTTTAAAAAATTTTATTATTTTTAGATTGAATTTTCTATTATACCTTATCGTGAAACTGGTACATACGTTTTATCAGCTGTTGATGATATTCAATTGTTACTCGATGATCATATAGTTAAAACTCAAACAATGAAGGGTAGTCCGTATATTGGACCATTTCAAAAAGAAATATCGTACGTTGATTTTTATTTTAATGATAAATTTGATAAATAATACTTATTTATTTTACGTTTATTTAGAGATTGGGAACATACATTAACATTATTACAAGATATTCTTGATGTTTGGCTTAATGTTCAGAAAACATGGTTATATTTGGAACCAATATTTAGTTCACCTGATATAATGGCACAAATGCCTGAAGAAGGTCGACGTTTTGCAACAGTCGATAAAACATGGCGTGAATTAATGAAACAATGTTTAACAGATAAACATGCTTTAGCTATTGTTAAAATTGAAAAAATGCATGAAAAATTAAAAAAATCAGATGATTCATTAGAGTTAATATTAAAAGTAAGAATCAATTTCATAATATTTTTTGAAATATAGATTAATAGATATAATTAATTCTTTTTTTTTTTCAGGGTCTAAATAATTATTTGGAAAAAAAACGTTTATTTTTTGCCCGTTTCTTTTTCTTATCTAACGAAGAATTATTGGAAATATTATCAGAAACAAAAGATCCAACACGGTAAATATTCAATTTATTCTATTAGTTTATTTTCTTTTTAATATTTGACAATTTTTTTTTTCTAGCGTACAACCTCATCTTCGAAAATGTTTTGAAGGTATAGCTCAAGTTCAATTCACTGAAAGTTTGGATATAACACATATGAAAAGTAGTGAAGGTGAAATTGTTGAATTAAAAGATGTTATATCAACATCAAAAGCGCGAGGTCAAGTTGAAAAATGGCTTTTGGAATTAGAAGCAGATATGATTGCGTCGGTACGGAAGGTTATTGGTGAATCGATGATTGATTATCAAAAAAAAAGACGTGTTTTATGGGTAAAATCATGGATGGGACAAGCTGTTTTGGCTACTACCTGTTATTATTGGACAACACATGTTCATCGTTCAATTCGTGAAGGCCAACAAGTAAATTGAAATATAATATTATTTATTTAAAAATAATTATATTATTTTATTTGTGTTATTAAGGCTTTAGAATCTTATTTACAATTGAATAATGATCAAATTAATGAAATTGTTGAACTTGTAAGAGGAAAATTATCAGAACAAAATCGTGCCACATTAGAAGCATTGGTTGTATTGGATGTTCATGCTCGAGATGTGTTAACGACATTAGTGGACAGTAAAGTATCAAAAGAAGATGATTTCTTATGGTTGGCACAATTACGTTATTATTGGGAAGTACGTATCTATCGTTTTTAACCATAATAATAATAATAATATCTAAATATTATTTTAATGTACAAATTTTAAATTATCACCTAAATAAAATATTATCTTATTTCTACTAGTTGTTAGATTTCGAAAATAGTAAAATAACATTTTGTCAAGAAATTCATTATAAAGCCATAAATTTGAGAGTACAAACTTTGTTTGTTAGTCTTGTTGAACGTTTTTCAAAAATGTTCATTGTTATTTATTTTTTAGTCGGAAAGTATGCTCACACGAATGATCAATGCTTCACTGAATTATGGTTATGAATATTTGGGAAATTCATCACGTCTTGTCATAACACCATTGACAGATCGTTGCTACAGGTAAATTTTTGATACAACAACATACTTAATTCAATATTTTTCTTATTTTTTTAGAACATTGTTCGGTGCATTAAATCTTCATTTAGGTGGCGCACCCGAAGGTAAAACAATACACATCATCTATGAAGAATAATACTTTATTTTTATTTCTTTGTTCCTATTCAAGGTCCCGCTGGTACAGGAAAAACGGAGACAACAAAAGATTTGGCTAAAGCTGTTGCAAAACAATGTATCGTTTTTAATTGTTCAGATTCACTAGATTATAAAGCTCTTGGAAAATTCTTCAAAGTATGATGTTAGAATAATACACACTTTCTATATTTGAAATTATTTCATTCAACTAGGGCTTGGCATCATGTGGTGCATGGTCTTGTTTTGATGAATTCAATCGTATTGATTTAGAAGTATTGTCGGTTGTTGCACAACAAATATTGACCATTCAACGTGGTATTACATCGGGTGCTGAAACAATTATTTTTGAAGGAACAGAAATAAAACTCGATCCAACTTGTGCTACATTTAGTATGAAAAACTAATAGACTCTTGAAATTAATTCATTTTCTCTCTCTTCCGTTTATTTCAGTTACCATGAATCCCGGCTATGCTGGACGATCAGAAGTAAGAACGAATGATAATATTTTTTACTATAACAATATCTTGAACACTTTTTCTAGTTACCCGATAATCTTAAAGCATTATTTCGTCCTGTTGGTAAGTATTATTATATGATAATAATTTATCTAAAGTTTAACTACTACTTTTTATTTTTAGCTATGATGGTACCTGATTATGCCATGATTGCCGAAATTAAACTCTATTCATCTGGTTTTGTCAATGCCCGTCCATTAGCTGTTAAAATTGTTGCCACATATCGTTTATGTTCAGAACAACTTTCAAGTCAAGTAAGAAATATATTCTTACTCAAAAATTGCGTTTAAAACTCTTAGATTTTTAGCATCATTACGATTATGGTATGCGTGCAGTTATTTCTGTTTTGATTGCTGCTAAAAATTTGAAGGTATACTGTTCATTTTAATTTGTTTGTTTTAGTTTTGTTTTTAAATGAAAATGTTTACTTTCTAGTTAAAATATCCTGATCAAAACGAAGATATTCTTGTTTTACGTTCAATTATCGATGTCAATCTACCAAAATTTTTGGCTCAAGATTTACCACTGTTTGCTGTAAGTTTTATTCAAAACTCAAATATTTTGTTTAGTTTATACAATAGATTAATTTGATGTTAATAGGGTATTACATCTGATTTGTTTCCTGGTGTCAAATTACCAACACCTGATTATGAAGTGTTAAATGAGGCTGTTGAGCAGTCATGCCGTGATTCTAATTTACAATGTACACAATTTTTTCTTGAAAAAATACAACAAATTTATGAAATGATGATTGTTCGACATGGTTTTATGGTTAGTTGTTCAAGTTCTATTTCTTTATGATTTATATTTGAATTTATACTTTTTAGATTGTTGGTGGTCCCATGGGTGGAAAGACGAGTGCTTATCGAACGTTAGCATTGGCATTGGCTATAATTCAGGAGAAAGTCAGTTGACAAAAATATTGCTGGACAATTGATTTATGATTCGACTAATATTCTATTTTATTTTTAGGGTCTGATGGGTGAAAATAAAGCAGAATATGTCGTTATCAATCCAAAATCTGTGACAATTGGCCAACTGTACGGAGCATTTGTAAGTATTAGAACAATGTATTATTTTTTATTTTATTTTGATTATTATTATTTTTAGGATCCGGTCTCTCATGAATGGTCTGACGGAGTACTGGCAGTAAACTACAGAAAGTTTGCCATTTCAACAACTCTTGATCGTAAATGGTTAATATTTGATGGTATGTGTGTATATATATAAAAATGGAAATAGTACATTATTAGTTGATTTCAACTTTCTAATAGGTCCTGTTGATGCTGTCTGGATTGAAAACATGAATACTGTACTCGATGATAATAAAAAACTTTGTTTAATGAGTGGTGAAATAATTCAATTAGCAAAAACAACAAATTTAATATTTGAACCAATGGATCTTGAACAAGCATCACCAGCTACTGTTTCACGATGTGGTATGATTTATATGGAATCAGCATCATTAGGATGGCGTCCAATGTATCGTTCATGGTTGAACGTATTACCATCAACATTAACGGATACTCATAAAAAATTATTAACAGAATTATTGGAACGTTTTGTTGATCCATGTATATCTTATATACGTAAAAATTTAAAAGAATTATCACCATCAAGTGATACTAATCTTGTACGATCATTAATGAATATATTAGATTGTCTATTTGATAAATTTCAAGATCCAAAAAAATTTCAATCATATGTATCAAAAGAAGTGTCTACGTGGATAGAGGTAAATATTATGATTGATCAAAAAATAAAAATATCTTTTTTAAATAAATTATTTTCTATTATTTAGGGTATGTTCTTTTTCTCATTAATATGGTCAATTGGTGTTACGGGTGATACCAATAGTCGAGTAAAATTTGATATATTCTTACGAAAAATATTAACAAGTGGATTAGATGATGAAGAAAAGAAACAATTTGGATTATTGGATGCTGTACCACCACCACCGAAACCATATACAGCTCTACCTCCAGAAGGATTATCAATTTATCATTATAAATTTGTTTCAGAACAGGTAATAATGATAAAATTAATTATCTTACATGAATTTAATAGTAATTTCATCATTGTTTTAGCCAGAAGAAGATACTGTACGAGAGAAACCAGCAGGTAACCGAGTCAATTTAATGTGATTGAAGAATATATATTTATACATTTACTTATAGATAGCGAAGAAGGAAATCAATATTGGGAACCATGGAGTTGGGCATTATATAATGCAATTCCAATACCAAAAGAAGCATTATTCAATGAGATTATTGTTGAAACATTAGATACTGTTCGATTTACAGCATTAGTCGAGATGTTAGTGACACATCAAAAATCAGTGCTTGTTGTTGGACCAACAGGTTCGTCTTTCTCAACTAAAATTAAACTATAAAAAAATATATATCACCTTATTTTCATATAAATCTTCAGGAACAGGAAAGTCGGCATATATTATTGATTATCTATTGAGAAAATGTGATAAAGCTGTTTATAAACCGATTATGATTAACTTTTCTGCTCAAACAAGTGCTAGTCAGACACAGGATATTATCATGTCTAAATTAGATAAAAGACGAAAAGGCGTGTACGGACCACATGTTGGTCAGAAATGTGTACGTAGCCGCACTAATCAACTGTTACAACGTGATAGTGAAATTTAATATTATATAAATTTAGGTCGTTTTTGTTGATGATCTAAACATGCCACTAGTAGAGACTTATGGAGCTCGTAAGTTAAACGTAATTGTTTTATCTGTCCTTTCCTCTCACATTCTCCAATATTCTAGAACCACCAATTGAACTGTTACGTCAATGGTAAGAAAAATAGTATAGCAATAGCTCTTGTATCGCATCTTTCTTTTATTTAATTAGGCTCGATCACGGAAACTGGTATGACCGAAAAGATCAATCACGAATTGGTTTGACAGATGTTCAATTGATCTGTGCCATGGGTCCACCAGGTGAGAAGAAAAGAATTATTTTGATCTACACATGTTTATGACATTATTTTGTAGGTGGTGGACGTAATGCTGTATCGGCCAGATTTTTGCGTCATTTTAATACGTTGGGAATAAATGAATTTGATGATAAAGTTATGACAACAATATTTACAAAAATTATGGAATGGCACATTGCAGCCAAGTAAGAATAACTGAATAAACAAAAATTCGTTAAAAATAAGAGATTTTTCTTTTACAGAAATTTTAATGATCAGTTCAAACTAGTTATACCAATGATTGTTCAAGCAACATTAAATATTTACAAAGCATCATTACAAAATCTATTACCAACGCCAAGTATGTAAAATATATACTAACAATCTATATCATAGAAACAAATAATCATTTTTTTTATTTTAATTTTTATTCTTTAGCAAAATCTCATTATATATTTAATTTACGTGACTTTTCTCGAGTTATTCAAGGTATATCATTATCTGATCCGGAAAGTGCTCCCGATCCGGCTGCCATGAAACGTCTATTTATTCATGAAATTTTACGAGTATTCTATGATCGTTTAATTGATGAAGTTGATCGAAAATGGTTTTATGAACAAGTAATTAAAACAACAAAAGAAGTGTTACGAGAAAATTTTCATCAATTATTAGGACATTTGGATGTGGGAAAATTGGGAACAGTTACTGAAGATAATTTACGTAGTTTAATCTATTGTGATTTTGGTGATCCAAAAAATGAATTAAAACGTTATTTGGAAGTAACAAATTTGGATCAATTACGAACATTAACCGAACAAAATTTAGAAGAATATAATCAAATGTCAAAAAAACCTATGAATTTAGTTTTGTTTAGATTTGCCATTGAACATGTATCACGTGTTTCACGTATTGTTAAACAACCTAGAAGTCATGCATTATTGGTGGGTGTTGGTGGTTCAGGACGTCAATCATTGACACGTCTAGCTGCTCATATGGCTGAAATGGATACATTTCAAGTTGAAATAAGTAAATCGTATACATCTATTGAATGGCGAGAAGATTTAAAACGTGCACTAAGAAAAGCCACTGAAACAGATAATCATTTGGTATTTTTATTTTGTGATACACAAATAAAAGATGAATCATTTTTGGAAGATATTAATAATTTGTTAAATAGTGGTGAAGTACCAAATTTATTTCCAGCCGATGAAAAAGCGGAAATATGTGATAAAATGCGTGTTCTAGACAGGTATGTTAATTACGATGTATTAGTATAAGTATACATTATTATTTGACTTTTTGATATTTAGACAAAAAGATAAAGCAAAACAAACTGATGGTTCACCATTGGCTCTATTTAATATGTTTATTCAACGTTGTCGTGATCAATTACATATTGTTTTGGCTATGAGTCCTATTGGTGATGCATTCCGCAATCGTTTACGAAAATTTCCATCATTAGTCAATTGTTGTACAATTGATTGGTTTCAAAAATGGCCCGAAGATGCTTTAGAAGCTGTAGCACAAAAATTTTTAGAAGATATTGAAATAAATGATGAAGAACGTCGATCATGTATTGATACGTGTAAATATTTTCATGTATCCACGGAAACATTATCAAAACGTTTCTTAGCCGAACTTGATCGACATAATTATGTAACACCAACATCCTATTTAGAATTAATAAATACATTTAAATCATTATTAGAAAAACGTCGTACACTGTTAACTGCAGCTAAAACACGTTATGAAGTGGGTTTAGAGAAATTAGAAAATGCCGCATCACAAGTCGGAAAAATGCGTAAGTTTAATTCTTCATAGAGGAGTTTGTTCGACTTCTGAGTTTTTAACAAATATGATACCTAAATCTAAATCTAAAAACAGTTCTAGATCGGAAAGCGTACAAATTCAAATTAGCCAAAAAATAGCCATATTTTTAAACCCTTTGAACCTAATGAAATCAGTCATAGACAAAATGTTAAATTCAAATTGTTTTCGAAGAGAGACATAGAGAGACTGTGAAGTTACGTTCGAATGGGTAGAAGAGGGATACTACAATTTTTTGAATTGTCTCTCCAAAGAGCTCTATAAATTGTCTAATTTTATTTACACTCTTTCAGAAAAGACATTAGAACAATTGCAACCTCAATTAGTGGAAATGGACAAAAAAGTGGATGCTGCTTTGGTTATTGTTGAAAAAGAAAAAACCGAAGCTGTTCGACAAGAACAGGTGTGAATATTTGTTATTTCTCTTGAATTTAAATGATATATGAATATTTTCTTTCAGATTGTACGAGTTGATGAAGAAAAAGCCAATGAACAAAAAGCAAGTGCCGATGCTATTAAAACAGAATGTGATTTAGAACTCGAACAAGCATTACCAGCGTTCAAAAAAGCATTAGACGCTTTAAATACGATTAAGGTAAATAATTTTGTATATATATATTCAGTTTAACAAAATTATAAGACAATATAAGTCTATTTCTAGCCTGATCAAATAGCTGAAATGAAAGTCATGCGTAATCCACCAGTACCAGTGAAAACCGTGATGGAAGCCATTTGTATACTGTTGGGTCAGGTATGTATATACATACAATTCATACATAAATTCACTTGAAATATACGTTCTAATTTTTAGCCTCCTGAAAAAGTTGTAGACCCCGCCACTGGTCAACGAAAAGACGGTATAAATTCTTGTGATAAAATTTTATTATATTATATTATGATTGTTTTGTTTTAGATTATTGGAAAACTTCTGTCAAAGTATTAGCTAATGTGAATTTTTTGAAGAGTTTAATGAGTTATGATAAGGTAGAATTTTTTAATTGAATATTTGACATCTTACACTGTAAAATGTCTGGTTTTAGGATAATATTCCAGCAGCATATATGAAAAAGATTCGACAAGAATATGCCACAAAACCAGACTTTCAACCGAGTGCTGTTGAAAAAGTTTCCTTGGCTTGTAAAGGTTTAGCAGAATGGGCACTGGCTATGGATAAATATGATGTGTAAGTTACTAATTAATCAAATGTAGTAGTAAGATTCATTATTCTTGATCATTTTGCGTAAATAGAGTGGCCAAAGTTGTAGCACCGAAAAAAGAGGCATTAGCCGCAGCTGAACAACAAGTAGCAAAAGCCGAAGCAATATTAACAGAGAAACGTGCACATTTGAGAGGTGAGTAGTCTACATATTATCAATTTCTTATTTTTTATAATCTCTTATTTTATTGTCAGGTGTACAAGAAAAATTAGCTGTTTTACAACGTCAATTAGATGATAATTTAGTGAAAAAAGATGACTTATCAAAACAAGTACGATAATATTTGTCTTGTTTTATATTGTATTGTTTTACATTTTAATTTAATGATATTTCTAGGTAGCAGATTGTAAAACAAAACTGATGCGTGCTGAAACACTAATTGGCGGTTTGGGTGGTGAAAAAAATCGATGGATGACAGCAGCTAAAGATCTCGGTGAACAGTATGATAATTTAATTGGTGATATACTCTTATCATCGGGAATTATAGCTTATCTTGGAGCATTCACAGCCGTATTTCGACAAGTATATTTATTGAAATATTTCTAATTCTAAATAAATTTAATGTTTTTTGTAATTGAAGGATCAAATTAATGAATGGAACAAATTAATTGAAGAGAAAAGTTTACCAAGATCAAAACAATATTCATTAGTTAATACACTTGGCGAGCCCGTTATTATTCGAGCTTGGAACATTGCCGGTTTACCAAGTGATAGTTTTTCAGTTGAAAATGGTATTATTTTAAAGTATGTCACTCAGAAAATAAGAATATTTTTTAAGTCAACTTCATCTTTTTCTCTATCTTTTTTTAGTAATTCTCGACGATGGCCTTTAATGATTGATCCACAATCTCAGGTATTTTAAATTATATGAAAATTATATGAAAGATTTAATTTCAAATTTTAAATATTCTAGGCAAATAAATGGATAAAAAACATGGAAAAACCAAAAAATTTACATATTATTAAACCATCTGATTCTGACTATGTTCGTACACTTGAAAATTGTATTCAATTTGGTTATCCCGTATGTATTTAAATATCATATGTTAGAGTTTTTGTCGATGATAAATTTACATTTTATTAGGTATTGATGGAAAATATTGGCGAAGAAATTGATCCACTATTAGAACCACTTTTATTAAAACAAACATTTAAACAAGGTGGTAGTCTTTGTATTAAATTAGGTGATAGTGTTATCGAATATGCACCCGATTTTCGGTAAGAATATAGGAAAAGTATGATGATCATTTATAATAATTTGTCAAAAAATTTTTTTATTTATTATTTAGATTTTACATGACAACAAAATTACGTAATCCACATTATTTACCAGAAACAGCAGTCAAAGTTGTTTTAACAAATTTTATGATTACCGAAGAAGGATTACAAGATCAGTTATTGGGTAAGTTCTAAAGTTGATAAAATTTATAATAGATAGTCTCATAAATTCACATATCTTTATAACAGATTTTATAATATTCAAATTCAATCGATTTTTCAAAAAACGAGACTATTAAAAATTATTTTGTTTAGGTATTGTTGTTGCACGTGAACGTCCTGAATTAGAAGAAGAAAAAAATTCATTAATATTACAAGGTGCTGAAAATAAACGAATGTTAAAAGAAATTGAAGATAAAATTTTAGAAGTTTTATCGGGCTCATCAGGAAATATTTTGGAAGATGAAGCAGCAATAATTATTTTATCAAATTCAAAAAGTTTAGCAAATGATATTAATGAAAAACAAGTGATTGCTGAAGAAACAGAGAAAAAAATAGATGCAGCACGTCTCGGATATAAACCTATATCAATTCATTCAACAATATTATTTTTTTCAATTGCTGATTTAGCTAATATTGAACCAATGTATCAATATTCTCTTACATGGTTTGTTAATCTATTTGTTGCATCAATTGAAAATTCAGAAAAATCTGAAATATTAGAAACACGTTTATTAAATTTAAAAAATCATTTTACTTATTCATTGTATTGTAATATTTGTCGATCATTATTTGAAAAAGATAAATTATTATTTAGTTTTCTATTATGTGTTAATTTATTAAAACATGATCATAAAATTGATGATGATGAATGGCGATTTTTATTAACGAGTGGTGTTGCATTAACAAATACATTTAGTAATCCTACAGCATGGTTACCACAAAAATCATGGGATGAATTATCACGTTTAAACGATTTAACACGATTTAAAGATATAAGAAAAAATTTTTTACAACAAAAAGATGCATGGAAAATTGTTTATGATAGTGCAGAGCCACATCGTGAACGTTTTCCCGAACAATGGCAAGAAAGTTTAGGTATATTAAATGAATTTTAATAGAGAGAGTGAGAGAGAGAGAAAAACATTGCCATAACTCAAACTATTTTCAGGGGATTTTCAACGAATGTGTGTTATCAGATGTATTCGACCTGATAAAGTGGTACCATCGGTTCAAGATTTTGTTCGTGATCATCTTGGACAAAAATATATTGAACCACCACCATTTGATTTACAAAAATCCTATGTCGATTCAACATGTACTACACCATTAATATTTGTTTTGAGTCCAGGTGGTGATCCAATGGCAGCATTACTCAAATTTGCTGATGATATGGTAAGTGTTTTTATTATTAAAATATTTTCTATTATGTCTACGAAAATATTTGATTTTTAGGGCTTTGGTGGTTCAAAATTGAATTCATTATCACTCGGTCAAGGTCAAGGAAAGATTGCATTAGGATTAATACAAGCTGGACTCAAAGATGGATCATGGGTAGTGTTGCAAAATTGCCATTTAGCACCCGTAAGTTATTTTTTTATCATTCATAGCAGTTATAATCAATATTTTTTATAATAATATGTTTTAGTCTTGGATGCCTACATTAGAAAAGATTTGTGAAGTAAGTTTTCATCTTAGAAATGAATTGTATGTATTACAATCTATAACTTATCATGTATTTTTTAGGAATTAAATCCGGATACAATTCATCCTGATTTTCGATTATGGTTAACATCATATCCATCAACAACATTTCCCGTATCGATTCTACAAAATGGTGTTAAAATGACAAATGAAGCACCAAAAGGACTTCGTTTTAACCTATTAAGATCTTATATGACAGATCCTATTTCGGATCCAGAATTTTTTGGTAGTGTCAAACAGTTAAGACCATGGAGAAAACTTTTATTTGGATTATGCTTCTTTCATGCATTGGTACAAGAACGTCGTAAATTTGGACCATTAGGATGGAACATTCCGTATGAATTTAATGAAACCGATTTACGTATATCTGTTCAACAATTAAATATGTTTTTAAATCAATATGATGTATGTTTGTACAATTTCTATATGTTTAAATAGATAAATTTTGTTTTTATTTAGGATGTGCAATATGAAGCATTAAGATATTTAACTGGAGAGTGTAATTACGGTAAGAATCTATTAGTTCTCTATAAACTTTTTCTTTCATTTCTATCGTTCTTTTGATTTTTCAAGGAGGAAGAGTCACAGATGACTGGGATCGTCGAACATTAAAAACATTATTAGTTAAATTTTATTGTAATGATATAATTGATACAGATTCATTTCGATTTGATGATAGTGGTCTATACTATGCACCACCAGACGGAGACGTATGCATTATTATTCACTATACTTTTATTGTGCTAATATCATCACATCTTTTTCTTAATATTTTAGTATGAAAGTTATTTAAATTATATTCGAAATTTACCGTTGAATAATGATCCGAACATATTTGGATTTAATTCAAATGCTGATATTACGAAAGATCAAAATGAAACAGGATTATTATTTGAAAATATACTTTTAACTCAGGTATGAAAGATGTTTTTCATATATTCATTGTCTATGAGAATCTGATCTTGATGAAGATCATAGAGAATGTCAGATTACATGATGAAGAGCTTGGATTGGTTTTAAAATGTCCGAAATAGATAGAGAAACAACATATAAGGACATGATTTTCGATATTTTTTCTTGACAAATTATATAAAGAATTTTTCTCGAAAATCCTAAATCATCAGAAAAACTTTTCCACACACGAAACTGAAAACCAATAAAAATCAAATCTGGCACTGTCTGACAACAAGTTGTTGCCATGATTGTTACCTTTAATTTAAGACTAACATGGGCCACTTAGCACGAAACTTCATGAAGAAATCTTACAATCCAAGTCACTTGTTTATAGTTTTCCACAGGTTTTCGAACATGTTGAATTCAATGCACATATGTATTAGTCTGTATAAGCATGTTTTTTTCTAGAAATTATCACTTTTATGAGGGGGTTTTAAGAAACCGTGTTTTTGGAGACAAAAAAAATTACTTGCATTACGTACTTTTTTAAAAGTCGTCATTTTGGACGAAAGGGATCTGAGATCTCTATCTAGTAACAAACTCATTCATTCTTAATGCACATTGCAGAGAAGACGATCAGATCTTGCACGGGTATGAGTAATTAAAAACAGCTGTATGTTAAACAGTAATTTGCTATCAAAAATCAAATAAAAAAATATGATGAATGGATAATAAAATAGATTTGCTTATCATTTATTTCTTTTTCTCAATACTATCAGCTTAATGATAAAATAAAACTACTTTAAAATCTCATATTGCTGTTAATGCTATTATTTTAGACAAAAGCCAAAGTAAGTAGTCTTAGACTTGTTACAAAAATTAATTAATCATTCATCTCTTAACAGGATGAATTAGCTTAAAAAGTAGTAGAATTATCTTAAATAAAAATAATTGATTATGTCTATATGAGTGCTATTCGATATCTTCTTTTAACTCTTCTCAAATTCGCTTTGTAGTTAATTTTTCGGCTTTAATTAAACTATATGTAGATTCTTTCTTCAGCTACTGCTACCAGTTGTATAGTAAAACAATATTTCTAGATTGCTTTAATGCCTCTCAAACTATACATTCCTTAATCTTGTGCTAAATTTCTGAATCGATATTGGCAAACATTTATTTATTGTAGATAATTGAATTCTAAAAAAGTAACCGATTATTTAGCATGCTTAGCGATTATCTTTTATTCGCATGGCAGATTCATATAACTGTACTTTAGGTTGCTTTTATGCCTCTATTTAAGGGTACCCCTACCCTCTTTTTGAGCTTTTCGTAGAAATGCTATGAAATAAAAACTAAAATTCACTAAGGCTACATATTTTTAAAACTGTTTGGAAACTTTTTTCGTTTTTATTTCAAGTTTTTAACTATTATTATTCATGAGTTTTCCAGAAATCTCGATTTTTCATTGTGTCTCATTACGACTCCGTTAAATTTCATCCGATCGAGTTAAAAATTTTACCAGAGGTATTCAAGGTAATATCTTAGCGGTAGTTTTGGGGAATTTGTTAAAGATCTTTACTTGTCGAGTTATAGGAAAAATACTGAAAAACGTCTCAAAAGCAAAGTTTTTCAATTTTAGAAATCCTATAACTCGGTAAAGAAAGGTCTAAAATAAAATTCATAAAAAATACCTCTGCGATATTACCTTGAGTACCTCTGATAAAATTTTTAACTCGATCGGGTGAAATTTAAGGGGGGTCGTAATGTGACACAATGAAGCTGATAGCAAAAACATAGATTTTGAGAAAAATGCATTTTGTACACAGGTCACTTTTTTCAGGGCATTTGTTACGATGCTTATATCTCCACGAAAACTCATCGAAAAATTTCGAAAAACGTCTGATTGACGAAAGAAAACACTATCTTCACAAAGTCGAATGTACATAAAAGGAGAGAAAACTAAAAAATTGCGAGTTTTTCTGGGCTTCGAAGGAAAAACTTTGAAAATGCATAACCTTTTTTAAGAAAGGTCGTGGAATGCTGGCAACGGTCTCATTTTGTAGCCCGCACTTTCCTCTACATTAGGCTCTGCTCAGCTCAAAATTCAAAATTTTTTCAGAAAAGAGGGGTGGGGTACCCTTAATCATAACATCTTTTATGATTACTATCGCTTCATCGTTACTTGATATTTTGTCTATGTATACTAGAAATGACAGATATATTTTTTAGACCAAAGGTGCGTCAAGTGCAACTGGAAAAACACCTGATGATCTAGTGGGTGAAGTAGCAACAGAAATCTTAAATAAATTACCACCGAATTTTAATATTGAAGTATCAATGAGAAAATATCCAACAGAATATAAACAAAGTCAGTTCAATGTTTATAGAGTATGGATGCCATCTTCTGGTTGTTGTCATTTTTAGGTATGAATACTGTATTAGTACAAGAAATGGTTCGTTTTAATCGTTTATTATCAGCTGTGCGACAATCATTATTAGACGTACAAAAAGCGATTAAAGGTCTTGTGGTGATGTCAGCCGAATTAGAAGAAGTATTTATGAGTGTATTAAAAGGCAAAATTCCCAATACATGGAAGAAAAAATCTTATCCATCATTAAAACCGTTGGGTTCATATATTCTCGATTTTGTAGCAAGACTGAAGTTTCTTCAGGTAATTTATTTTTTTGTTTTTATTATTTTCGTTCTTTTCCTATCAAAAGTAAATAGACGGATAAGAACGTACAAAAAAAAAGAGTGTATGTGTGTTGTTAGCTACTTAGAAAAAAAAAGAGGAATATGTCGTCGTTACTATTGCCATCGACGGCAAGAAATCGTGTATTTTCGCTGCTAAGCACTATAAGTAAAACAAATCAGTGTTGTCCAAGTCATGGGTCTACCACAGCCGTACCAAAATCTTGTGATTATGCATTTGAAATGGCTTGTTCAACTGTTCGATATGGACATGGGGTTACAGCAGAATTAGGCCATGATATTAAAAATTTGGGTATTAAACATGTTGCTCTATTTACTGACGAACGTGTACGTCAATTAAAAACATTTGAGACTGTTTTAACCGCATTGCAAAGTAAAAATATTGAATATGAATTGTTTGATCAAGTGCGTATTGAACCAACAGATAAAAGTTTTAAACATGCTATTCAGTTTGCTGCTAATGGAAAATTTGATGGATATGTGGCAGTCGGTGGCGGTTCTGTTATGGATACGTGCAAAGCAGCAAATATGTATGCATCAAAACCAGGTAAAGATGTGCCGGATTTTCTTGATTATGTAAATCCACCGATTGGAAAAGGTTTACCTATTAGACATCCATTAAAACCTTGCATTGCTATTCCAACAACAGCCGGGACGGGAAGTGAAACAACAGGTGTGGCTATATTTGATTTTGAAGAACATCACGCTAAAACCGGTATAGCACATCGTTCAGCACGTCCAACGTTGGCTCTTGTCGATCCAAACCATGTTCAATCGATGCCGTCACGAGTGGCAGCTAATTCAGGATTTGACGTCTTGTGTCATGCCATTGAATCTTATACAGCTATACCGTATAATCAACGATCACCAAAACCAAAGGATCCAATTGAACGACCGACATATCAGGGATCAAATCCTATTAGTGATGTATGGTCAATCCAGGCATTGAAAATTGTCTCAAAATATTTCAAACGTGCTGTTAAGGATTCAAATGATAAAGAAGCACGTGATCAAATGCATTTAGCCAGTACAATGGCGGGAATAGGATTTGGAAATGCGGGTGTTCACCTTTGTCATGGAATGTCATACGGAATATCGGGTAATGTAAAAACATACAAAGCAAAAGATTATCCACAAGATTATGCTCTTATTCCTCATGGATTATCCGTTGTTGTCACATCTCCAGCTGTTTTTGAATTTACGGCACCAGCGTGTCCAGAACGACATTTAGAAGTAGCATCAATATTAAGTGGAAATAAAAGTCTGAATAATAGTCGATTAGAGGATGCTGGAAAAATATTAGCCGATGTATTGAGAGCATTTCTCCATGATTTAAATGTTGATGATGGATTAAAAGCATTTGGCTATACGTCAGAAGATATACCAATGTTGGTCAAAGCCACTATACCTCAACATCGTGTTACTAAACTGGCACCTCTGATGCATGACAGTGATGATTTGGCTCGTCTATTTGAAAATTCAATGAAACTATACTAAAAATACTTACTCATTTTTTTGTTTTGGTTTTTGTATAACTTTTTAAAGCAAACATAAATATATCTGTATTGATGTTTTTTTGCAGGATTGGTTCGATAAAGGCGCTCCAAGTTGTTTTTGGGTTTCCGGATTTTTCTTTACTCAAGCATTTCTTACGGGCGTACAGCAGAACTATGCCAGAAAATACACTATACCAATCGATTTATTATCATTCAATTATGAAGTTATGGATGATAAAGAACCAAGTATTCCACCTGAGGATGGTAAATAGATTTTATTTGTCAAATTTTTTAGCTCATGATCAATCACTTAGTTTTCCAAATTGCTTAACATATCTTTTCTCAACCATGAAGAACTTACATTAACCAAACAGGAATATTTCGGTTGATCTTTTCGTATTGCTTTCACAAACTCGATCCGATAATGCGAGAGAATTAACAAAATGTATCGTTCTTGTTCTTTTGTAGGTGCTTATATAAAAGGTTTGTACTTGGAAGGAGCTCGTTATGATCGTAAAACACGCAAATTAGCGGAATCATTACCAAAAATTTTGTTTGATACAATGCCCGTTATTTGGATATGGCCAGCTAAAAAAGATGAATTAGAACAAACTCCATCTTATACAGCTCCCGTTTACAAAACAACCGAACGTCGTGGTGTTTTATCGACAACTGGTCATAGTACAAATTTCGTTATAGGTATGAGAATTCCAACTGATAAAACTGAAGCACATTGGATTGGTCGAGGTGTTGCATTGATATGTCAATTAGACAATTAAAAAGAAAAAAAATGCTGATACACTCACTCTTCCGTTCATTTACATTTGAAAATCTTCCGGTGAGCAAAATCGCAAATTCTTATACCAATTTTTTTATGTTTTATGTATAAAAAATACCTTCTGATAAACTTAGATCTCTTCGTCATTTTTTATCGCTTTCAATTTGATAAAAAATTTTACTGATAAAAAATGATATCTCTCATTTTTCATATATCACACAGGATACTGTTCCTGTTTTTCTCATAATATTTTATACCATTCGATATATGTGTGATCTCAAACAGTGAGTGCGTGTGCGTAATTCTCTAGTTTTTTTTTTGTACACTTGTTCACCAGATAATAATTTATTTTAACTCCATATCAACGTTTGAATCTTCTTAACTTTTGTTATAATACAAATGTACAGTCAAAAGATTTTATTCAAATAAATACTATTTTTAATCGATATCAAAATTAAATCGATGTGTTCTTTTTTGACTATGTGAACAATAATTTATAATTGCTGACATTTCACCTAGTAATTATTAGATAACAGAATTCCTGTTTCCTCAAATTTTTCTCACCGATGTACATTCCTTTACGATATCTGTATTAATTGAAATTTTCGTATAAAATACCGAGTTTTGACGTGTCAAGCTATTTGTGTCAAGGTGACTTAAAACAAATATCGCACTTAGTCATTCATCATCACTTAGTAAAACACTTTAGTCAGACTAAAAGTGCCTTAAGGCGAGGCTTGACTTAAAACTAGTGGAGGCGCCACTGGAAGAGAAAGCTGTGTGGACTCAACCTCTTCACCGAAGATTTCGTTTGCCAATGTTAATTCATGCTACTTTTCAGATGCATTTCACTAGAATAGATAATTATTCATTTACAGTTCATAAGAAGTATCAGTAAACCTTTTCCGTAAGAAAAAGCTCAGAAAAAATGGAATAAAACACGGAAAATTGTAACGGAGATCAGTTACCGATCAGAGACAGCATATATCTCAATAAACCACAATCTCATAAATTTTTTTTTGAGCGAATAAAGATTTTATAGTTTTATTTTTTATCGTGTAAACTACATCGAAAAATTTTTCTATAGATCAGTCCCGTCCTCTTCTGTAGAAATCTCGGCATCGTCTTTTGCTTTAAAAATCCTCTAAGAGATCTATTTGCAAAAAGAACTGTCCAGTCTTGATCATATTTTCTTTGAATATTAATCTTGTCAAGGTACGTTCACTGCAAAAAGTTTGAGCTCAAAATTTCCAAAGTTGCCCCAGATACAAGGGCAAAACATCTTACTATTTACAAAGTTTCTCCTTTATTTCAAGTCCTAGAAAACTCGGTGTTATGACATAGCAAAGCTCGGTCTTTGAAATTTTTGTTTCTTAACATTTCCCAATGTTTTATCTTGCATACCAAAAAATTCATAAAGTAGTTTTACAGAAATTCCTTTTCTTCTCAAATACTGAGATGAAAATCAAAAATTAGACTCGTTCATGTCATTCTCTTCAATTCAAGATGGATAGCTTTATAGAGGCTAAAACAGAGGATAACTCTTGTAAATGGTGCCAGATCTAAGGTCCACATGTGATTTTGAGAAGAAGGCAGAATACTTTCATTCAATACAAAATATTTGAGAAATTGGATCTGTATATAATTTGTATATATTTCTTTTTATAAGTTTTAACTATCATGTAACAAGAATGGAGATATTAGCCTATGTAGATAAGTTTTTCTAAAACTAACATTTTCACCAGTATAGCTGTCATTTAGGGCTTTGGAAACTTGCTAAAAATCCTTTTTAGCGAGAAAAAACCAGTACAATCGAACGAGGAGGCTTTGGGTTAGCATACCATCTGTGAATCTCAATATCACCTTTGAGGATGATCTTAGTTAAGACTTGGTATTTCGGTATACTTAATTCTTCGTTTTAACTTAAGCTTATTTTAGTTTCGTGGTCTGTGATTTTAAGTTTAGCATCTCTAAAGTTGTCATAAGTCAATATTGTAAAATCACACAGTAAAATAAATTAAATGTTGACTAAAGACTTGAGTGCTAACGCTTCTTGAGTTTATCAATATTGATGAAACGCTCCCTATATCCCAGATTCATATCACGAAAGAGTCCTTCGACCATGTTCTACTCTCACTTGACGTTTTCATAGATAAACAACATTGTTCGTCATATTTGGCAGTGTTCTAAACGCTAATAGTAAAGATTTATACTAAACAAGAAACTCACTATACTTTAAAAAACTCTTCAATTTACTGCATTATTATCGGAAAATTTGAGCTGATTTTACACCAGTTATTTGATTACGATCACAGGAAAAAAATATCTTATAGCACATTCCATCTGATGTAGCTTCCATCTACAGAACAAATGGGCAACTAGCCATAATATAAATTTCTTTATTGATATGAATCTGTCGACAGATATATTTAAAACACATTCCATTTGTCGGGATCTACCACAGATATATTAACTACCTACATGATATTTCGTCGAGGTGAAACAAAATGAAATTTTCCTTTATGTGAAACTATAAATAGCAGATTTTGACTTTGATATTCTCTCGTAATCATCACTAAGATACGCGTAGTGATATTTATTTTCTTGGGCAATGCATGTGTCATAGTTTTCTAAAATAAATCTATGCTAAACGATTAAAACAAGCATGTTCGAATCTAGTCGATATCTCTCTTTTACGAGTACTACGTTACATCTTCCGTCGTATGCAAGAACAAGACATAAGTGAAAATTGGTACGTTTCAGATATAAATCTATAGGATGACAACGATGTCTGTGGGAACACGCCGACATCGACCAAAACTAGTCACACCATCGAATACATCATTTTCCAATTGTGTACAAGATCGTTTATTTGTAAAACAACCACCACCTCTTCAGTCGTTTCAACCCATTGTCTATTTGGATGAAAATGGGAAGAAGCATGTACGCGTTAATGATCCGTTAGTAAAAAGTAAAATTTCTTCGGATCGACGATTACAACAACGAAAAAACATGTCGCCTGTTTTATCACGTTCATTTGATCAAAAATCATCTGTGTACGGTGTGAGAAATCCGAATATTGTTGCACTTGTAGCTGATATTGATTTGAATAAGGAAGACGAAGATAATGAGCAGCTATCGGATGATAATGAAAATAATGATAAATTGAAAATTGTTGAAATTAAGCATTCAATTAATCGAAATGGTACCAAATTAAAGCGAACAACTTCCGTTACAGGAAAAGAAAATGAGACCAATATGACGCCAAGATTAGAAAATCAATTTAGAAAAAGTCAAATGTCATCAGCAATGTATGAGCGAGATGGAAGTGGAATTGTCGAAGGTGACGATGATGATGATGATGATGATGACGATGATGACGATGATGACGATGATGATGATGAGGATGACTTTAATCAGTCACCTAAACCAAGACATACCAAACGTCATTCTTCAACTGTATGTATTTAATTATAGCTAAACCATAATCTAATTACAATTTTTTTAGAATAATAAACATGATCGATCATCCAGAAAAACATTGGTTTTTTCTGATACACCACTTAGCAGTAACAACAATGATGGTGATGGTATACCGACAAATTCTACACTCGATTATAGAATGTCGCAAGATTTGTATAATGTTCCATCTAGTAACGAAGATCTATACGATAAAAAAGATGAAGAAATTAGAATAAAATCCACAGAACTCGATGACGATGAGACCTCGTCACATTCACCACAACGCCAACATGGAAAAACAGAATCAAAAGTACCAGCACACCATAAAGACAACATTACTTCTGAACAGCAGTCAATGAATAATGAATCTGCAGTCAAAACTCCAGTTGATGAACAAAGAAAACGACAATCATCTATTGCCAAATCACATGAAAGCGCAATGTCGCCTAGTTCACCAAATGTACCTGTGGAAGAAGAAGAAGAAGGAGAAGGAGGAATAGAGGAAGAAAAAGAGAAAGAAGAAGAATTGAGAAATCCTACTGATAACAGCAATGACCCACATCTGTCTACGGTAATAAATTGAGTACAAATGTTTCAGAGAAAAAAAATTGAAGAACAACCTATAGTAGAAGTCCTATTTTGTATCAAATGATGAGCAGCAGCCTGTGTTGTCACTTAATTTTGTTCTGCGATCTTCAGAACATTTCTACTCAATGTTTTATTATAGCACAAATCGACTTCTCGTGCTTCATCAGCAGATTCAACTAATACTTCTGCTCTGCTAAGGAGCAACAGTTCACGTGATGTATCGGATAATGATGAAGACGGAAATGAAACAAATGATGTTCAAATAAATTTAAGACGAGAAAGCAGTTTTACTGGAGATCGAAAATTATCTAAAATGGATGATCCGATAATATTGCCAGTTAATAACGAAGACGAAGATCAGCAAATTCAACAATACGGTGAATACGATGAGAGTCAAGTACTTAAACTCAAAGAATCATTTCAGCCGGTTATAAATGAGGCAGCATCATATGGACATGTTGAAATTGTGAGAGGACTATTGCAGGTACTAAACTAGAATAGTATCTCATTGTTGAGTCCAAGCTTATGGTTCTATTTAGCAAGGTCAAAGTGTTCACACACAAAATTTACTTGGTAGAACTACGTTACATGAAGCATGTAAAAGTGGAAATGTTGAATTAGTTAAAGAAATTCTTGATCAACGAGCAATTATTGAACAAAAAGATCATAAAGGAATGACATGTGTTCACATTTGTGCTTATCATGGAACAACAAACTGTCTCCGTTTACTTCAAGAATATGGTAAATAATCTTATGAAACCACTCCTTAGGCATTCCAAAGAAACTAAGAATGAATAGAAATCAAACTTTACGACAGAAATTACAGCAGTTTCAAATGATTTATCCACTAAATCTAATTCAGTTCCTTAATCTGAAAGAATAGAGTTTCACTTCTGACTATATACAGTTCAACGCTGAGCAAGCTGCTTTTATAAAAATTATTGTGTTACTACAACAAAATGTTTTCTTCCGCATACTAGGTGTTAATTTGAATGCATGTGACAGTGAAAATCGAACAGCTGCACATTATGGGGCAATTCGAAACCATCTTGATATACTCAAATATTTATCTGAAAAACGAGCATCACTGACAATGAAATGTAATGACAGTTTAAAACAACCTATTCACTATGCAGCTCAATATGGATGTAAGATTATGTTTTTAATTCAAACAGTTATACTCATAACATATTTCTATTAATTTACAGCTCTCGACGCTCTAACATTTTTATTGAAACATTCTGTAATTAATCAGTTAGATGCAAATCAAAATACAATCGCTCACTATGCTGCTGAAAACAATAACATTGATTGTTTAAAATTAATGAAGAAACAACAAATTATTCTAAATGAGAAAAATATACTAGGACGTACACCAGCACATGCGGTATAATATAAATGATTGATCTTGTTATAGATTATCTCTTCAAGACGCAAGAGGAACTCTTAATTTTGCTTGCTCGTCCTTTCTAAGAAATACTCATCGAAAATTATTAGTATTATTCTACTGTCTTTAATCAATGCTTGTAGTTAACGCTCTAATATGGAACATCCCTTTCCCAATTTTTCTATGAAATTATGATTTTTCATAATCAAAATAGGATCAGTAATTTAAACAATGAAAACTCAGACATAGTGCAATTAATAGATCTAATCGTTGGGAGTGTTTACATTACACAAAATGTTTGATGCTCACGATAGTGTAGATCTACGTTATAGTCGATCTCGATCATTCTGAGAAATGAAACGTAAAATTTGTGAGAAACAAAGTTGTAGTTCAATGTTTCTAAGATATAAGTTGTTTGGGGTCTATAATTAGTATATCAGTTATCTAGTATGGTATCTCCCATAAACTGTCAGTTTATTGCACGATTGTATCTGATGGAATCCTGCTGCTATAATGTACTGCTACTATACCATTTCTGGGTCAAACTTTGGCGAAAACAGACCTTGCATAGAATCACAGAATACATGGGTAGTTTCATGCGTGGGATATGGAACGGGGTAGGGCGGGGTAAGTTCCAGAAAATTTTTGATGAAACAAGACGGGACAAGAGTTGTTTCTTCAAAACTGTATTCTTAGTTTTTCGTGGAGGTTTTTGTAGCAATTAATTGGAGAAAACTTTCTCCAATAAAATGCGACAGAATATTGAATGAATGACAAAACTTCAAGTTGCTTTAACATCATGCCAGTATTTTCTTTTATGGAATGTCTCTTCTCTTCTCATGCTTTTTGATATACTGCAATTGAAAGAGACAATGGTTTCGTTGTCTGTGCGCAATCAAAAATCATTTTCTCCTTTCTCTTCCTGCCACTGTCCATCCCGAAAAGGCATGGTTTTTCTAAAAGTATGCCTTTTCTTACAATATTTTATTTCGACAAAACAATTTTACAGACACAGCATATATTCATTTTAAAAAAAATCACAGCTTTTGGATATTTTTTTAGCAGGTAGTCCCTCAAAAATGCGGTCGTATTAAAAAAAAATCGTATCACGAAAAAACTTAAGTCAGACTTAAATTTTTTTGTGATACGGCCCCCAGATGAGCTTTCATGTAACATATGAGGTCTTTTATAGGGAAGATGGTGAGGTTGATCAATTTTTTAATAGCATTTTGTGTCCTTCTGACAACGCAGTTTTTATCTTGGAATTTTTCATATACTGTTGTCTTCCAATACTTGGTCACCACTCCAAAACTTTGCTTCGTCCCTCCGCAAACAAAAACCTAGATAAATCATTGCTCTGTACTGTTCACGTTAGCGTACTTGCGTTTTAGTTGTTATTTGTTTTCTTGTTTCAGGCTGCTTTTCAAGGCGCTTCACAGGCACTTCATTGGCTATTAGAAACAAAAACTTCGAATATAAATGACCAGGATGGTAAGTCAATAATCCTCAGGTTGACGTTTTCTCTATGCATACACTAGTAGATTTAGTCTTTAACATTCCACTAATAATATATAGTTTATCATCATACTCTTGTTTACTACTACTTATATACTAAAATTTTTCTGATCATTGTTTTGTGATGAATATGAACGATATAATAAACGAATAGTATCATCACATGAAGTAAAATATTCAACTGGTATGTATCCATAATAGATTTCGTGTAATTTTTTTAATATAAATTAAATTATTTTTGTTTCAACAAAGTTTGTTTACTAGGACAAACAAGAATGGAAAGAATGCTTAAAAGATCTAACTATATAAACCATTAGTTAGTGGTTACGTGAGAATATCGTTATCAAATAAATAAAACAGTTCTAAATATGGACAGATTGATAGATTAGGATACATTTGAATTAGATGACGTACAAGAGTACAATAGTTCTAGTATCATGTTTAAATAGATGTGGATATTGTTTTGGTGAGATATGTGTTCCTAATGGCAGTGTATCTCGTTCATAATGTCACTGGAGAAACAATTTATATCTGAGTGTGTTTTCTATAGTTTAAAAGAACCCCACCGAATAAGATAGAAAATCTGCTACTCCCACAAGTCGCCACTTTTAATATATGACTGGAAACTCCTGAGTCTAGCGCATAAGAATCTGCTGTTAGAAGTTTTTCAAGTCCATTAGGTTCAGGAAAAAATGAATTTATTCTCATTGAGATGCGTAAAGGTAGTTAAATATAGTAAGACGGCTATAACTTTAAAACCAAAAAGTATTTTCAAAAGTGATTTTCACCATTAGAATCAGTACAGTTTTCTGTACAAAATAGTGGTACTTTTTTTGATAGTTCTCTTTTTTTCTTCGAAAAAATATTTTCTAATAGCAAATAAAGATCCTTTCGTACAAACGCTGAAAGAAAATGGCATGGTTAAGGCACAATAGAAGAGATGCTACTTCTCTATAAATCGAGTGAACATAGTTTTACTGTGATACATAAACTGTCTCATTTCTTCGTTATGTCCATTTGACTATACCTTTCCGTTTATTGAAAACTGCCACTAATTGATCATTCAACGGAAGAATCGACAAATAATGTTAGTATATATTTATCGATGTTTCCAATTAAATGGTATTACTAAAAATTTATTTAAAACATTTTAATACGGACTAAAAATTCATGTCGACTACAATTTAGTTGATATATTTTTTTATAACACAGAACATATTGTATTTGATATGGTTGTTGATTAAATCTCGACACATAATCAATGTTTAATTCAGATCAAATAGATCATACTCATTGTGAGTGAGGTTAATAAACATTTGATATTCGATCGATAAATTATTTGATACTAAAGCTAAATTAACATAATATTCACCGTAGATTGGATCACAATGAATGTGTCTTTATTTCTTTTCTTTATGAATTTTGTTCAATTAACGGAAGGACAACCATTGTCATTTATGTTTTTAACCTTCTTCATATATCATATGATGTTAAAATAAATAGCCACGTAACATTCGTTTAAAATAGTTAAATAACAAAATTTTCAACAACTGTTCACTACGAGAGTCAATCATCATTTCCTAACAATCGAACTATGAATAATCAATATTTAACAAAGCGGCTTTATCTACAAAAATTGCAATTGTGCACTGAGGTTTTAAAAAGATCCATTTGCCTCTGGTAAGCGGATCTTTTTTTCTAAAAGTATATTTTTTCTGCTATACTTTAGGCTAAAAACGATAATACTAAATTAACATTGGCTTTTTACCATGAAACATTGGTTAGCATTGAGTGTCTTTGCAGAGTATGCGGTGATGAGACGCATGATACCTTCACTATGTCCAATAGACTTTAGAAGAAAACAAAATAAGATTAGTTCCCATAGGTAGCAAATAGTGACAGTGGACTATCACAAAAAAGCTATAGAATACTAAAAATGATTTGATATTATATAAAAAAAAACATTTTTCTACAGTTTATATAAAATGTACTAAATGGCTAGATATATAATATTCAAAAATAGAGATGGTACTGACAATTTTTCTTTTATTTCTCTCTAAATGTAAACAGTCATTTATGGTGTTTGGCACGTAATATTTTCTGTTGAAATTAGATGAAGGCAATACTATGGTACATTTATCAGCCATAAAAGGACAGGCTGAATGTTTCAATTGCCTAATTAATCATGGTGCTTCACTTGATATCTACAATTTTGAACGTCGTGAAATGCCAGTGGATATTGCAAAACGATACGGAAAAGCAGTGATCATAAGTAAAGCAGGTATAAAATAGTTAAAAAAATTCGATGTAGATATGAAAAATAAATTTATATTTTTTTTTAGGAAAAAATGAAATTCGTTGTCAATATTGTATTAAAAAAGAAGAACGTCTAAAATATGAAAAAGCACATGAACTTAGTTCAGTTGAAAAACATATCCATAAACAAATTAAAAATGGATACAATCTAAATATTCCAAATAAAACGTAAGCATTTCGTATGGATATTTACACGATTTTTCACGATACTAAAACAAAAATAGTTTAATTTCTACCTTCATATATTTCTTACCAATAATGATGTCTTCTCTTATTTCTTTTTAGAAATACTGCACGTCGGTTTCGACCCACATGATTTTTAATGGTTCTAGCAATTCTCTATACATAGTTAAACAATATGTTTTTGATTTGTGCATTTATCCATTTTCGAAAAACATCTCTGCTTCACAGATGTCAAACAAATGAATTATAAAAAAAAATAGATTTTTGTTTTAGATTAATCGAACATCATCATCAATATCGTCTTTTATTTGGAGTAAAACTTATTCTCCTTAATATGACGGAATTTTTTCGTTCTGTTACCTTAAATTAAATAAACTACTTAGTTCATAATTTTATCATAACTGTTTTATATATAACTCAACGACTTTCCTCTAATTAAGTTACTTATTAGTCTATCATTATTGGTGGTTATATATCTTAATAATAGAGACATTAATTCATTTTGATATTCACATTTTCTTTAGAAAAAAAAATAAAATAAATATTCTCAACCTATTTGTTTCAAGGTAAGAAAACGAAAATTCATACGAAAAAGAAAAGAAGAAATATCGACTTATAGGAGAGAATCGCGTCATGGATGAAAACAAGAATTAAATATATGAAAGAAAATTTCTAAATAGAAGGTTATATCGACTTTTATGTGACTGTTAGATGAAAAATATTTATCCAAGCATCCTACTTTTCCAAGTACCATGTCACGAGTAGCAATAGATCCATTATATGAAAAATTAATCCACTCAATTAATGCTTGATAGAATTATCCTATCTACAGGTGAGGGTAGGATATAAAATATAAATAATCCTCTTCTGTCAATCCCTAAAACTACAGATTGATGAAAAGGAACAAGGAAATTGAAATTTATTTAGATTTTAATCTTTTATATAAAAAAAAGGAGATTATTTATTTATTTTTGTTGGATTATATATTTTGTTTTATGGAAACCTTCATGATACCTATGGTGTATACAAGTAGCAAGCTTTCTTCTATTCAATGAATTTAAGTAAAATATCGTATAGCAAATATTTCTTGTCTATCTGATTTTTCTTTTTTTTTGTTGCATAATTTACTTTAAATAGCGTCGATGCGGAACACTATGTAATAAACAGAAGAAAAAAAAGTATTCATTTGCTTAACTATACAGAATAGAATAAGAAAAAAAATGTATTGAGTCAAATGTGTTTCTACTATTCTTAATAAAATTTGTCTGTACATAAAGAGTTATACACGCTGTTAAGAAATATAAAATGAAAAAAGTATAAAGAAAAAGAAAAAAAAATAAACGTTAAAAAAATAGTAGTCTATACCGTTTATTACACATTTTTCTAGCTAATTTTGCCTATCTCTAATTGAAAAATTATTAGCCTATTTCATAAAACTAGAGAAAATAATTAAAAACAACAATTTACCTAAAACATTAAAGAACTCATTGAATTTTTGATTTTTACTTTGCTCGTAGCATCCAGATGGTCTAAGATGATGTGTATTTAGTAGTGTTATAATTTTAGCAAATATGTTGTGTTATATGTATCGAAAAATAAAATAAATCATTATTGTTTTTCTTGACATTATTTAAGATTTATCTCTAAGTTTATGATTAAACGGATATTTAATAATGACAACATCATATTTACTAAACGAGACAAAAAATGATGCACCAAATGGTAACACAGTGGCATCGCTGGTACGTAATGTATATTAATAATAGAATTTTTTTTTTTTCTATTCCTGAAAAATTTTAGTACTTGAACTAACTACTGGCTTCATTGTGAAAAACAAAGAGCATCTGTCCTCTCATTCTGGACTCGTCGTACAAATATGGTATCAAACAAAAATCAAATACTATTAAGAATTTTTTTACTTAAAGATACAGAGCTCAAGCAGGGATCGTTTTGCTTCTATTTTATATTCTTATTAATATTTTTTTAAAAAAATCTTGCACATTCAAATTACATTTCTAATTAGCTTAATTTCCTTTCATTAAACTAGAATGCGATCACATTCTCAATGATCTCTGCAAAGATAAGAAAATTTTAAACTTTTTCAAATCTTTTATGTAAAATCTTAGAAGATTCACATATTTTTAAAGAAAATTATTTACAACTGAAAATGATTAAAATTTAGCAATTTTGACAGCAAATTTTCGATCAACGAACTAGTAAATAAACAACTGCTTGCTTATGTAGTGCATTTAAATATCACTAGAAGACAAAGAATTTTTTGAAAAAGTTTTTTCGATATAATTTAAATTTTGTTTGGGTTACATTTGAATTTTTTTCATGTTTTTTGTTGATGAACTGACAATAACTACATATTTTTGTACTTCAAATGTCTCCGTTTATCGAAAGGTTTTCTTTAAAAAAGAACAAAACATAGAAATTCAATTCTCTATCAAATCAGTTTATTTAAGATTTTTTTCATATATTTTATAGTGGAAAAAAAATGCATATCGAAAAAGTGAAAAGTTATTTATGGGCTCCTTGTTAGGTATAATTTATCGCTTCATTTCTACACATATGCACATATTAATTTAATATCTTCACTTGTCTACTGTTGTGATTTCTACACTTAGGTAAAACAAGATGAACTACCTCTTCCTATGTCCTCAACATCATCTCGGCGTTCGCCTTCAATGCCCTCTTATGGTTCATCATCGTCTAGTTTACAAGAACTAATTCGTGTTATTACTGGTTGTGCAATAAATATTTTATCCTCTATTGGTATTATATTTTTAAACAAATATATTTTCAAAAAATGTCACATAAAAACGATGACATTAACCGCTATACAAATGTTATTTACATCAGTTGGCCTATTAATTTGTTTACAATTCAATACATTTACAAGAAAACAGATACCAATACAAAAAGTATTACCATTATCGATAGCATTTTGTGGCTTTGTTGTATTCACAAATCTTTCATTAGAATACAATACAATTGGAACATATCAGTTATTTAAAGTATTAACAACACCAGTTGTAGCTCTTATTAGTTGGTATCATTATAAAACAAAATATTCACGAGCAGTTGCTCTAACATTAATACCAGTTGTTGTTGGTGTTTGTACGCATTCTGTTAATGATATTGAACTAACAATATTTGGTACAATAATAGCGAGTAGCGGAGTATTAGCAGCATCAATTTATCAAGTTTGGGTATGTATTTATTCTTTTTTCTTTAGTAAAAAATAAAAATATAGAACAATAAAATTCTATTGTTAGGTTGGTGAAAAACAAAAAGAATTTGATATGAATTCTCAGCAATTATTATTTTATCAAGCACCATTGTCAGCTGTGTTACTCATTCCATTAATTTTAATATCAGAAACATTTCCGACCTATTCTACAACAAAAGAACAACGAAATGCTATGATGGCTGTTTTTGTATCTGGTATTCTTGCATTTGTCGTCAATTTATCCGTTTATTGGGTAAGAGTAAATTTAAAGATTTGTACTCCTTTGATTTTAGTTATTAACTATTGTTCTATTTTTTTTTCTCTAGGTAATAAGAAATACATCAGCTTTAACATATAATATGATTGGTCATATGAAAACAATTTCAATATTAGTTGGTGGTTTTATGATATTTAAAGATGATCTCAATATAAGACAATTTTTCGGTATTATGTTAACATTGTTCGGTCTGTTTACATATACATTTGTCAGAATGAGCGAATTAAATCAATTACCATGTAAATCGTGGAATTATGTCCCATTACCAATAACACCAAACTCTGTTTAAGATTTTTCATATTTACTACGTTTTACAATCTCCTCTCTTTTATGAGCACAACAAAAAAACAACAACAACATAGATCAAAAAATGTTTTAATCTTATTTTCTTACAATTATCTGTTTATGTCGAATGTGATATAGTTTCAATTAATCTGTTTTGTGATGTGCATAAATGTTTCTGCCAGTTTGTTATAATATTACAGTGTAGTTTTAATTGTATTTGTTATTTTAATATTTATATTTGTTATCGTTTTATTTGTGCATAAAAATATTATATCGAATGAATGATATTAGTTATAATGAGAAATGAATTTAGAAATAATTGATGAAGCAAGCCTCAACTATACTACTATATACTATACTTTGAATTTTTACATAATAATCTAAATGCTTACACAATTTGTTCTCTTAAAATACGCGTTAGTATTTGTTATATTTAGAATAAATGAACTGTATACACATGTTTGTTATTCTTTACTTCGTTAGAATATTTTTAACAGTAAATGTACAAAAAAAAGAGAAAAAGAATCTAACAATAATAATATATTTAACCTAAATTTTCTTTCGTTGAGTACTTATATAGAGCACATTATTACCACGTATAAATGCGTCACCATATTTATTTTTTAATTCTCCACTCACGTATTCTTCAGTTTGTTCTAAAACAATATTCATATATCCATCTAAACAAGCTAATACACCTCGATAATCAACACCACCTTAAAAATAACAAAAATGGAACTAATTAATAGAAAAATGAACTATTATTCTTCTAATACTTACTATTCAATTTGACCACTACTGGACGACCGATAATTTGTTTTAAAAATTCACTCGGCGTTTGTTTTCGAGTAGTCATTATAAATAGTAAAAATATCTTGAATAAGTAGAACATAATTACAGTTTACCATCGTTTCAAATAAAAGAATATCGTTGAATAAACATTACAAAAAAAACATGAAACAATTATTTTCATATCAGTTAGAATTTATTATTTTTTTTTATAGCAAAACAAAGAAAATCGCTGTTCAATAACAAGAGCGATTTTCTACAAAAAATACAGTTTAACAATGAAAAGAAATGAAAAACACTATAAAAGAGTCAACAGAAACAACTTACGGTAAACATTTTAGCTTTTATAAAAAAAATCACAAGGATTTATCTGAAACATTAAGCTACTTCCATTTCACCATTTCCATCTTCGGTTGATTTTCCATTCAATGTACTGCGCTCCAGAGACTCTTCTAGTGTTTCTTGTTCTTTTTTCTGTCGTTTTTTTTCTTTTTTCTTACGTTTTTTCTCCTTAACCAATATAGAAGCACGTTCTTCTTCGGCCTAAATACACAAATTAAATATGACAATTATATTTAACACATTTTCTTCTTCTCTACAAAACAAACCTCTTTAACAGCAAGTTCCATCATTTGTACATTGGTAGGCGGTAATTCACCACTATCATAAAATTTTAATCTATCTGTTACTTGTTGTTTAAGTCGTTCACCGAACATGGTGGTTGGAACATCTAAATTGAACAGAAGTTTGGTAAAATAAAGGTAAACTACGCAAAATAAACACTTCATACCAGAAAAACAATCGATTCTTGATGCAATAGCACATTTATTGGCTAAATATCGTGATATTCGTCCTTTATTTTGTGTATTTGCTCGACCAATATACGTTGAATGAAAAATAAGACCATATTTCGGTGTATTACCTTTTGTTTTGAGCGCTCTAAATAAAAAATATACTTTCAGAAAAAAAGTTCTTTAAAAGACGAAGTCGTAGCGTGTAGTACGAAGAAAACAGACAAACCGAAAAAGAGCTTTTTCAGCACCAAGAATTTGAATTGTTGATGCTGGATATTTTGCCAAATTTGTCAAGCTGCCAGCATGTGCGATGAGACGTGCACCTACCTGAATAATTAGACAAAGAAAAACATTTGTACGATTAACTAGAAATTTCATCTTCTCATTTACTTGTTCTCCAATTAATGTGGCGAGATTTGGTGCAACTTGTGTCATTTTGCTACGAAGGTACTAGATCAAAAAAACAAAAATCAATGAGTAAACATGAAATCATTCTTTTTCTCGTTTACTTCTTGTAAACTTTTACGATATTCAAATAAATGTATAACACGATTGGCAAAACATTCGATATTAATTAAATCAATCGGTGAAATATCCATACCTATCAAGAAGAGGGCACGAATAAGACAAAAACATGTCAAAAAGAAACTACATACCAATTGTTGTTTTCATGGCTTCGAAAACTGCGTGTGTTTTTCCTGTATCCATAATAATTTCTTCTAATTCCGCTTCGCGTGATTCATGATTAAAGTCTTTACGATTTTTAATTAAATAAACAGCACGTGCATACGTGTAATTATCTGGAATTATTCTAATTAACTCAGGAAAATGATAACCATACCATTCTCTAAATGAAACAAAACATGAGATATACTACTGCCATTCTTTGAGCTCATTCAAATTACCGAATTCTCATTGCGAATGTATTGATATCTTTATCAAGTTGATCAAGTAGAGCTATCGACTGTATTATCATATTATCTACACGATTAACATTGAATTTAACTTTGGCACGTGAATAAGCATGACCAAGACCCAATTGCGCTTTATTCTGATTTTGATCAGTTAAGCCTTTGATCAAATTTGGGAAATGGACACGAATACCTTCGAAACGTAAAAAAATGATCAACTTAATAACAATATTATGCTCTCAAATACACACCTCGTAATAATTCGGGAATAACACCAGTATGCTGACATGTTATACTGAATTGTTCGTTGATTGTTGATGCTATTTTCGAATCAGCTACACCTAGTATCATTTTGGCACGTTTACTTGGTTTTGGTAAATTTGTTTCGAGAAAATTATGTAAATCATCATGAACTAAACCTACAAAAAAGAAAAACAATTTTTTATAATGATTAGCTAGATTTTATCGCATACCTTCTGAGATTGAATTTGTATTGTCCAACGCATTGATACCCGACTAGAAAAATTCAGCTTTTCTCAATACGATTGTAAACAACGATTTAACTTACTTGAAATGGAAAGAATGCAATAAGTTTAACAACTGTAGCAAATTTAGATAAATCCAGTACACTTTGTTCAACTTGTGGTAATAACATTCCAATTTCTTCAAATTCATGAACGCGAAATAATGAATAACCAGATGCATGTTCATAAAGTACATAGAGCAAAGACTAAAAAATGATTAAATTATAGTAGTTTACAAGAATACAAAAAGCAATACTCTAGTTCAGGGCCGCAAATCACGGAAGGATGTGAGAGAGTGTGAAGCCTCTGAATACGTGAAAAAGTTATTATCATTTTATACACTCTACCTCGAACGAAATTTCTTTCATCAGCTTCACACAACCGTAGAGAGAAATCCTATTTTATACCCCCTCTAATATTCAGTCCCTACTTGCGACCCTACTCCGGTTGAGTTTACCATTATTTTATAAAATATAAAAGTTGCCCGGATGGCAACTGAAATACAACAGTTCTAGAATAATAAATCTAAAGATGTAATTGACATAGAATGGATGAACTGACATAAGAAAGGAATAATTGGGCGAGATACAAAAATATTTCTGGGAGAAATAGAAGCCAAGGATAAAAAACTAAGACCACAGATCTCCATATTCTGGAGAAAGTAGAGAGAACGTCGAGTAACTGTTTACGTTTCTTTCCTTTATCTGCGCGTATTCATCAACTTTAAAGGTTTTCACAATTAAGACTCAGCTTTTTGTTATTTCTACACATCTTAGAAAAAGTCAAATCCTATTTCAAAATCACTACTTTGTCCAATTATCAATTATCATTCACTAAAACGGATCGTCCAAATATTTCACTAATATCAAGTATTGATTGCATGATAAGAAAAATATGGTTAAGACGATTGGACTACATCGTGGTTTCCAAATACTTTTAAATCGGTTTACTAACGAGAGAACGTTTTTCGGTGAACTCTTCCGATTTCGTTCGTTCATACGTCATTCGATAGAGTATATTGAAATAAGAGAAAGCCTACAAGAGTACGGGCCCATGACTCTTTAAGATCCAGTTTTTCCGAAACTCTAAAAAATAACCCGAACCTTTGTTAATGAGATACGATTGTAGCCCGCAAATTTCTGATTAAAATGAAACTCCCAGCTCTTCGCGACCTTCTTTACAAAGTTATAGAATTTATAAGAAAAGCCCTATATGTTCATTGTCAGCTCAAAGCTACAGAAATAAGAAGAAATTAATTTAGGGCTTTTCGTGTGATGAACGAAATTAAAAGACAGATAACAAAACCATGAACTAGAAATAGATAAAATAATTAAAAAAAACAGAGAAAAAGTAATCATAACTAGCATGGCTTTCTGACTAATAACAAGTCTGAATTTTACTGGAAGAGATTGTGAAATAGAGTTTTTTGAAAGACATTAAAGAAGAAGAAATAACTGACTCTGGAAGTTTTTTCCAGTCAATGATAGTTGATTAGAAAAAGGAAGAAAACACTATTTGTATGGTGCCTACTCCCTGTCGCTGTTTCTAGAGTTTTTAAGTAATATAGACAAGAGCCGAAGAAAGATATAGAGCACTGGATATCTGTCTCGCCTTGAACTTCCATAGAAACTCTTGTCTCTTCAGCAATGCTTTTTTTTGCTTTCTATCCCTTCCCAGTGGCTACTGTTAAATAAATAAGATTGAAGCAATTAATCATTAGTTGGGTTAAAGCGACATCTATGTTTTTCTAATACTTGTATGAAAATAAACAGATTTTTAATAAACATCATAGTTTATATCAAAAAATACCAACAATAAATTATTTTAAAAATGTGAGTCCAATAGAAATCATCAAATATTTGACCTATGTCATATTAGTATTTTGAAACTATTTGTTTCAAGCAACATTGTGTTAAAAAGGGTTTTATTTCATTCATATCTCGTATCTATCAGCATTCGTGACACTGGGTTGTAATTTAAATTGATCTCTTTTTTCATCACATACGCTATGTCTCAGACAATGACAGCTCGTGTAAGTAATATTTTCTCTTATCGTGATAGATTAGGGCTTATGCATCTTCGAAGCAGTGTTTCTAATGATTGGCGGTCCCCGTGAGAGCAAAGTGGTTTTCCACGTTGAAAATTTGATTCCACTCTGTTTTTAGAAGCAAAAACATGGAAAATGCAGTGGTAAACTGTGAAAAACCACTTTAGTTAAAATTCTCGTTAGAAACACTGTTTCACAGTTTCGCCTTGTTTGACTTTGCCTGTCTATCCTAAATCATCCGATATGAAATCAAGTTTCTCTTCGAATTTTCATCGGAATAGAATCAGACTTCGCCAGCATTATAGCTAACATAAATATGTAAAAGTATTTTAGATACCGTCCATAGACTTTTTCATGTGTTACTAGTTTTGTTATTCATATTTTTAGACTCCGGCACAAAAACCATACTTGGATGCAATACGAGCTACACTTCAAGCAGCATTTTGTATTGAAAATTTTGAATCACAAGTCGTTGAAAGACACAATAAACCAGAAGTAGAAGTCAAGTACGTTGTTCTTCACTTAGTATGATAGAATTGTACCCTATGTTGTTATTTTGATTATATTTCTTTAGATCGTCTAAAGAATTACTATTAAATCCGGTTATAATTAGTCGTAATGAAAAAGAACGAATTTCTATTGAAGGCTCTGTTAATTCTGTTCGTATAAGTATTGCAGTTAAACAGGTTAATATCATACATCTCCTCAGAGAAGAAAATAGTGTTTGTCATAATTTTGATGTTTTAGTCAGATGATCTTGAAAAGATATTGTGTAAACGACTAATGCGTTTTATGATGCAACGTGCAGACGATTTTCATATTTTACGTCGAAAACCTGTTCCGGTAAGTAGATTTTTTTTAAAGAAAATTTAAAATTATGCTAATTTAACAACTATATTTTGTTTTAGGATTATGATATCAGCTTTTTGATAACAAATTTTCATGCTGAAACAATGTATAAACATCGTTTAGTTGATTTTGTAATACATTTTTTAGAAGAAATAGATAAAGAAATAAGTGAGATGAAATTAGCCGTTAGTTCGAGAGCACGTATGTGTGCTGAAGAATTTTTGAAAAAATTTAATTAAAATTGCACACGACCAATAAAAAAAAACGATAAGTGCAGTATAGTTGCTGAACAGTGTTTTTGACAAAAAAAAACTTAATTTGAATGACATTTTTGTAATTTTCATCTTTTTTTTTTTGCGCGAAACGTATAAGTCATCGTTTTCATTAAAGTAATTCCGACGAAATGTGATGTTTTTTTTAGAGTATTGCTTGCGAGTATGTTCATTGTTACTAACTTTGAACAATAATTTCCTTTAAAGAAATTGTTGATTTACTGCATTTTTCTTTTTGTGTGTGTAACTGGTGAACGACGCCCACTGATTTTATAAATATATTCAATTATGTGCCTTCCATTTTGTTTGTTGATTTTTTTTTGAAAACATACTAAAAAACTTTTTCTCAATTTTCTATAGGTGTTACTTGTGTGCGTTCTTTCTTTTTAATTTCATATTTCGTGTTATGTATTTTGTTTTTGTCTGTCTCTTTTTGTTATACATCTTTTAGAAAATAAATAGGGCAATATTGTTGTCAATAATTGCCTTGCTTTTTGTTGAATATTAGTGACGATTTATGCTAATTAATTACATGCACTTGTTCGAATTGAATAACAATCAATGTTGCATGTTTTTCGATAGCTTAAATGTAAGAACCCGACATCGGAATTTATTTTACTGGTATTTTGATAGAATAAAACTTATCAATTTATAACGGAAATATTATAGGTATCATCATTTTTCAATAAGAGTACCGTATTTTATTTACTTGTCATCGATTCGGATAGATGGCAGTCGTTGTTATATCAACTGTTTTAATTTTGATTATTCTTTGGCATGCCATTCCAGAGACAGGTAAGTGATATAATTTTTAAATGAAGGAATAATTGGTTTTATTTCTTCTTTAAGGATTATTTAGATGGCATCCATCATCGATGGCCGTGGGTGTAAGTACTGTTCCATTGAAACTGTTCAATACTTATATAATAGAAAAAGTTTAGTTCTTCTTTTAAAGAAACATCAGAAGAAACTTTTGAATAACTCTTGTCTCATACAAACAGATCTTTAACTAAGATAAACTTTTTGTGATCTTTGATACTTTTAAATCGTAATTTTTATTCTTACAAATTATGTTCGTCTAAACGTTTCGATGCTTTGTATCTTCATCAGTAGACATGATAAATTAAAAAGAGAAAAGAAACTTTTTAAAACATCCAACACGAAAAGAAATCCTATCTAGAAAGTAGAACATAGCTATAATGCTTATAATACGTAAAACCGGCTAAAACTCCTGATAGACGTCATCAATTTTAGATCATTTTTCCACCTTTCCTAGGTCTAAGATTATGAGCTATAGCTCCATCCGACATCAGTGGCTCTGATCTGACAAAACCTGTTCCCGAATTTTTCTTAATCCATGATTTAATTGTGAGCAACCATTGAGTGCATATTGTCTGTTTGTTATTGTACCCATATATTGCCAATGTATAGACTGATTCTAGCCTCTTGCGTTTATATTTGTTTCGTTCTTCGTCATAGATGACGGACGATTCAAACCGAATATTGCAATTGTCACTAGAAATGCTATGTTGAGCCAATTCAGATGACTTAGTTTTATCTGATCTACTAATGTTATATCAACGAGAGTTTGATGTTGATTTAAACGGTCATATGGCCTCTTGTTTCTCCCACATACCATGGACTACATTCACACGGGACACCATACACCGCACATATAGGTATTTCTGATTTTAGTTTATCAATCTTTGCTTTTCCTTTAGCAATACTCTTTGCTTTTGTTAACATGTTGCACAAACTCCGTGAATGTTGCGTGTATGTTTTAATGTTATATGCTGTTAAACTCGGTCTCAATCTATCGGTCATACCTTGAAGATGTGGAATCACAACTATACCATTTGCCTTTTCTGCTTGATACTCATTACTCTTTTGCTTCCCATTCTCTTCTTTTTCTTTTCTATGTTCAATTTGTTTTTCGATTTATGCATGTGTATTACACATGAGTATACATAATTTGATTTTTTCACTCATGAGAATAACTGTTCATTTTTAGTATATGGGTTTCATGTTTCATGCCATATTTATTTTTTCACCAAAATCTTTATTTTCATCATCACGTAAGAAACAAATTTTCGTTCATTTCACATTACAAATGCTAACCGTTTTATGCTCAATAATTGGTTTTTGGTCTATTTTCATTAATAAACAACTATACAATAAACCACATTTTACATCATGGTGAATAATAAAGTTTTTTCAATACTGATCCGGTCTAATATCATTGACATTTTTTCTCTAGGCACGGTCTGCTTGGTTTTATTACGTTTATTTGGACATTTTTACAAGCATTCACTGGTTTATTTCTCACAATATTTCAGCGTCAATTACGTTACTTCAAACTATCTTATGCTCAATTACGTTTGTACCACGCAACATCAGGTATCTTTCTTTTCACGTTAGCATGTATTGATACAGTTTTGGGTCTTGCGTCAAATTGGTTTCAATCGAAATTTTCCAACAATACAATAATATCATATGTATTATGGTATCTCATGGCATCCTCAATCTTTTTTCTTGCGCAAAAAAACGTCGAACATATTACGAACAAGTATGTATCAAAAAACATACATATACCTGGAAGATTGAGGACATAACGTTCACTAAAAAATCAAGAAAAATGAATGAAATGTTTCTAGTCATATTCTACAAAATTATGAAATTTTTTTGTACTTTGTGTATGTCCTTGCTAATTCATCGTTGAAAGTGTAGAACTCCTGGTTACGATGTTTTTCATTTTCATAGAAATAATTATTGTTGATTTTTATCTGTTAAACTTATACTGTACAGAGTTTCGTTGTTTTTTGTTGCACAGTTTATTTAGACAATCAATTTATTTAATATACTGTCAGTCATTTCTACATGGCAACATTTTCTCATTTAATAGAAATGAACTTTTGCCAAATTTTGTTATTTATATCTTTCTAATTGTTTTTTTTTTGTAATTATTATATGTAATCGTTAACAACCGTAAGATAAAATATATGTTTTTATAGTCCAAGAATAATAAATATGTTTCTTTACAAAACTCTTCTTTTGATTTTGTTTTAATGAAAACTATTTTTATAAATAGTTGTCTTTTGCCTTGCACAGGAAGTACATCACAAACAATTTACTGTTTATTTGAAGAAACAATAAGAGCATCTCTTTTAAGTTCTGTGTTCAAATCTCTCTGTCGTCAGTGATATGTTCTGAAAACGAAGGCACACACACAAATCTATAGAAGAATGTATTGAGTTTGGTCGAAAACTAAAATATCGAAAATTGAAAGTTTCAAAAAGTCAAAGCCTTAGACAAACAGGATAAAAGTTTATTCTAATAATATACATTTCTTGTTGTACTTATTTTCATTATATGTTTTATAATGTGTGTTTTATAACTCTACTTCATTTAATTTTAACAATCCCAATACACTGTTTGAGAAAACTAAAATTGAATTTTTTTTAACGTTATCAGAATGACAAAATTATGATTCATTATGCCTGTATCATGTTTCACACCACGAATGGTATAAATTTGATCAAAATAGTAAATAAGACAGAATATATTAATTAATGCGGCTGTTTTGAACCTTTCGTTGGATATTTCGACCTGTTTATTCGGTCATTTTCAACCTACTAACAACAAAAAACAGCAACATAACCTATACATGGCTCTTTGTTTTCTCCGACACGGATGGGAAACGTGATACATTCCAGGGATCGAAAGAAGAACAGCAAGACCCCACTCATTTTTTATCTCATTGAAATATCTCAATGAAATAAAAAATGAGTGGGATCTTGCTTTTCTGTGTTTTTCTTCTTTGATTGAGATCACTGACCGACGTTCGGGTTGGTATTCTTGCAAGATTCTTGTTTCTTGGCATTTTCAGACAAGTATCTTGTAAAATATTTTACATGTATTTTTATCACACAAACCTTGCAGGAAATCGCTTTGTGAGTTCATACAAGAATCGCGAGGCGGATTCTTGCCTGAATGTACAAGAAAGCGATTTCCTGCAAGAATCTTGTCTTGTAATTCTTAAAAGGATCGTGCAAACAAATAGAATACATATATAATCCATTTTTCGTCTTCTTTTCTTTTCATATATATAGGAGCTGGATGCTCTGATGCCAATACAGGCACATGTAAAGATTCAATTGTCTCTCGACAAGAATCTTCTGAGATTTAAATGACTTTTTAAAGACATCTATATGTATAGTATTGAGCTATATTATGTAATTTATATATAGCAGGAGAATCGACAAAACAAATTGGTGATTTTGTCGTCAACGAATCTTGCCACTTCAGATAGGAATTTTAACGAAAAAAGATCAACAATCAATAAAGAATTAAAAGAAGAGTGATGTCTCATCTATCACGACAAAATTGAGAATTCTTGCCTGAAATGGCACGAGCCAAGAATCTTGCAAGAATACCCACAAGAACGTCGACCAGTGATATCTCATTGAGATAAAAAACGAGTGGAGGTTTTGCCTTTCTGTGTTTTTCTTCTTTCGATCTCTAGAATGTATCACGTGTTTTCCATCCATGTCAGAGAAAACAACGAGCCATATATAGGTTATGTTGCTGTTTTTTGTTGTTAGTAGATTGAAAATGACCGAATAAACAGGTCGAAATATCCAACGAAAGGTTTCAAAACAGTCGCATTAATTAATATATTCTGCATTAAATCCTTGCTCATTACAGTTTCTAATAGTAAATAACAATAAACGTGTTGTTTTAATTATTTTATATTTTACCACAGAATATAGATATTGTTTTTGACACACATTTACAAGAAAAGCTCTAAATGGTCATTGTCAGCTCAAAGCTACAGAAATAAGAAGAAATTAATTTAGGGCTTTTCTTGTAAATTCTATTACTTTGCAAGAAAGGTTTTGTAGAACTGGGAGATAACTCATTTTGAACGGAAATTTGCGGGCTACAATCATGCCTTATTAAGAAAAGTTTTTATTTTAAGTTGTTATTTTTTAGAGTTTGGAAAACCGGTTTTCCGAAAAACCACTCTCTGAAGACCCCTGGGCAGCGACCACTATGATATTCGGATTCAGCATAGTTGATAACCTGTAACCCACTAGGTTTAGCTGAAAAAGTGATGTGACAGTTCGCGAGGTTCCCTCGTCAGTGTCACTGGATATTTTAATTTTCAAGGAAACTAAACATATCTTATAGAACAATAACTCTGTATCATGTGCATAGGCTAGTGGTCTTAAATAGTACGAAACAGATTCAGAATTAAAACGGCATGCGTGGTGCTTGTATATGATGCAATCTGATGTGATTACACAAGCCATGTATAGATGAACTTTATGTAAAATACGTTCTTGGTGTATAGAGAAAAAAATCAACTATTATATGACGTCATCGATGACTATGACTACTGTTGTAATCAAACATATATATATATATATATGACTTACGTTTAGGACAATATATTAATTCGAAATAGGTGAGCTATTTCTTTTGAGATTAGTTAATCAAATGATCATGATACTGTTGCTTTTAAGAAGAGACATATGTCGGAATGAGGTAGGATCCTTAATTTTGTTCATATAGTTTTTTAGAATTAACCCTTTGATTAGAATAGCTCTTCATACCTTTCCAATTTTGCTGTTGCTAGGTGTGATCCTCTCTGGTATTTGTCTTCAAATAAATTAAATCAAATAAGTATATCCTTTTATTTGCAGACTTGACATTTATGAAAATAATCGCATTATTTCCCGTCCGTAACGGGATTACAACGATTACTCGTCTCCATGAATCTAAATTGTTAAATTTCATTTCATACAATGTACAGCGAAGTAGTTTTCATACAACGTCCCGACTGTCAATCGCCGCCACAGAAGGTAAAAATTCATATGAAAAACAAGAAAATATCCCAAAACAAGATGGAGAAAACCAATCATCAGCGAAACCAACTGGTGAACAACCACATCCAAGAACAGATTCACAATCATCAACATTTCATAAAAAACCAACTAAAATTGAAAAAAGTTATATGATGTCTCATCCTGTCTATTCGAAAGAAGAAGTTTACGCTGTTAAAATTACACATAAAAAATTAGAAACATGGCAGGATCGTGCAGCGTACGCTGCTGTGAGAACATTACGATTTTTCTTCGATACTTTCACTGGTTATCGACCGGCACCTGATCACAAAGATGGAGATCACAAAACAGTAAGAAATATTTTTGTGTACATAAATTATTTTTGTAAATAAATCTCTGTTTTTAGCCTTCAAAACAAAATATGACGGAAGAACAATGGTTGCGACGAATTATTTTTTTGGAATCGGTTGCTGGTGTACCAGGGATGGTTGCAGGAATGAATCGGCATATGAAATCATTGCGTAAGTTGGAGAAGCATCTCAGACTATGAAATATCAAATGAATTTATATTTGAAGGTACGATGAAACGCGATCATGGATGGATTCACACGTTGCTTGAGGAAGCGGAAAATGAACGAATGCATTTACTAACATTTATGGAGCTTCGACAACCTGGTCGATTTTTTCGTCTCATGGTTCTTCTTGGTCAAGGTGTATTCTTCAATTTTTTTTTTGCAGCATATTTAATATCACCAAGAGCATGTCATCGTTTTGTGGGATTTCTCGAAGAAGAAGCTGTAATGACGTGAGTTAAAATTAGGCGTAATCTAAAACATATAACTATATTTTGTTGTTGTTTCTTTTTATTAAGATATACACGTTGTTTGAAAGATCTTGATGCTGGAAAATTATCAAAATGGACAAATCTCGCAGCACCTAAAATTGCTATCAATTATTGGCAATTAGCAGATGATGCATTGATGCGTGATGTATTATTAGCTGTTAGAGCAGATGAAGCAAACCATCGACATGTTAATCATACATTTGCCGATGTAAAATCTCACCAAGTGAATCCCTTTTTGGAAAAAGAAAATGAAATGGATCCGCCTACTGAAGCAGAACAAAAAAAACATGATGATCGAAAAACAAAAGAAACATGATTTATTTTACACTTATTTCTTTTGTGTAGGTTCTTACATATTTGAATTATACTATCTGTTTTCTATCGGGTGATCCAGTGAAAATGGATCACTTTTTGTTTTCGACTTTTCTCAGCCATATTTCATCCGTTTGAGTTCATTCATATACTACAAGATGCGTCTTGAAATTCTCTACAAAAATTGTATTAAGTGTTTTGTTATAAAAGTAAAAGTGGACGGATATATGAAAAATATTTGATGAGGTTTGAAGTAGTCAACTAGCTGATCGAAATAATAGTTTTTTGGTTTTATTTCTTTATCTGTTGAGATTTGGAAAAATCAAACTTTTTATTTTTACTCGTATTCGTTACTCATTTATTTTAACTCGTCACATAAGTTTCGCACTATTATGTAAAATCGTCCTAACTCATACAAAATCAAACTTTTTGGATTCATCAGAAAATTTATTTTGATGTATTTTGGCAACTGTGCAAGCGTTTGAAAAAAGTTGAATTTGCTGAAAATACTTTAGAAAGTTGACTATTTCAAACCTCATCAATGTTTTTTATATATCCATCCATTTTTACTGAGAAACACAGCTGAGAAAAATCGAAAACAAAAAGTGGTCGATTTTCACTGGACCACCGATACAAGATCTATAACTGTGTAGTGTGCACCCCTCTGCACCCTTCCATCTCCATATCCCTGTATGATTGACGGAAACTATAGTTGAATAGTAGCAGAGTTCCTTATTTTCTTAATTTAGATGCTGTTAGGATAATTACAAACGAGGACGTTTTTTTTAACGTATTCAAAACACAATGATTTTGAATGAAGATCGTGTAACCGTGGCTAGGATAAAAGTGTAATATTATGCATTCACTTTTCAGATCGCTATGTGTGGACTAAAGAAAAACATCCCATAAAAGGTTGCCTAGAAATCAAAATAGTAAGATTAGTCATTGTGTATGTTAGGCTTATTTTGTTTGATTATTTTGTGACGAAAATAACCATTGTTCGAAATTAACCAATCTTTTTCTTATTTTCTCATATTTTATTTTCTCATATTTTATTTTCTCATGTTTTATTGATTTATCATTCCTAGTTTTTAGGCCTATTTTTTTCCTATATGCTTTAGCTGTATTAGACAATTACCTTAGTTAATATGTAGCATTAAACTATAATAATGGAAAAGTAAACAGTCATCTATTGAATCAATGGTTTCTAGTAAAAATCTAGTTGAACACTCACTGTTTTTCTAACGGTGAACATTCTTTGTCTATCGAAAAAATGTATCTTTTTGTTTTCAGAACGGCAAAAAAGTGTAAAAACTCGAATTATTTATTTTTTTTTGAAGAAATTATCCGTGTTTATCGATGAACATGCCAAGCTATTGCTGATCTTTAACCTTCGGTGTTGCACTAAAAGATAAACAGAGAGAGATTCAGTAGATGTGAATCAAGCTAGTCTGTAGGCTTAGAGTTTCCTTAGAAAGCACTTAGCATTGTTAGATCCAAATTAGTTGTGATCATGACCTGTTTGTCATGAAACCAAAATGTTGGTTCTTCACAGTAATATTGAGCAAAAATACCGATATTTTTTGTTAATGAGTATATTCATTGTTAAAGAACAACAGTGTTTGCGTATAACAGCGAATTCATCGCTATCTACGGAGAAGTTGCAACATCAATACGATAAGTGAATTCTTAAGATTAAAAATTGTTCCCGTCTTTTTTCCAGTCGATTTTCTACGTTTCTAATCTCAGAAATTCACAAGTCCAACTGTGTCATTTTTGTGATTAAACGCAGTGTAAAATTGTCCTAAAAAAACAGTTGAACGGACAAGCTTTTTATCAATTTATTGGCACCAAAGTTCTTGTTCTATAGCATATTTAATTATATAATTTAGATTAATAATAATGCAACTTTTACAATATATATCATCGATTGGAGCTTTCAATATATATCAGTAGTAGAGCAGTATCAGTTAGAAGTACAAAACTAATGAAGTATTTTTTAATAATTTGATTTTTCTTGTTTCGCTAAAATATTGTTTGTATTTTTCATAAAAAGTTTAATAGGTTATGCGTCATATAGCTTACCATCTAGAAGTCTTTCCTCCCCATTGAATCATTCGTTATATTATGTAATATTCATTCATTTTCATATACTATGATCTCAAATTGCACGGAGATATAGTATATCTTATTTAATTCTTCACAATACAGACTACTCTTTATTACATCACGTACTGTCTAATGGCTAAATCAAAAATAATGGCCTTCTCAGTATTTTGCTTATATCTCTCCATCCACTAAGCCCTTTGAGCTGATTGTTTTTGTAAATGATTTCCCGTTTAATTCTCTACAGAAATCATAGTGAACAAAGAAGATAATCATAAAAGCTCCAAGAAATGGCCATATTTAAAACTTTACAGAATTGTAAATGGTTGCGACAGAATTTTTTTTGTTTTATTGGTTTTATTAAAAGTCGTCGTTTTCAAACTGCAATTTTGGGAGCATGTAAAATTTTTTTATAAATCGGTCAGAATCAAATATGTTGAGGTCTAATTAGTCTCATCTTAAAGCAAAATAATTCTTTTATTACGTCCGTCGTAATAAGTCTTTTATTACGTAAAGAAAACTCAATAGTTCCATTTCTTTTCCAGTGACAAGGCGAAAAGATGAAAATTTTCCTTTCTTTTGGTAAATTTTAATAAAACCGCTTTTTGTGTCAGGAAAACTCGTTCAGAGCAAACCTCTGACACACGAAAGGAAAGACAACACGCCAGACTTCCAGAATATACATTTTGATCCCATTCTGATGTATAGGACTGTGTCCAAAATAAATATTTTCTTGTTGTGTTTTAGATAGAGCTGAGCGAGTCAGTCGTTCTTCGAGCCCGAGTCATTTTGTCATGAGTCATGAGTCTGACTCGAGTAGGCACGCACCGGTTATAACCAATAAATTTTCCCTTTTTTCTGAAACGGATTGCATGAAAAGTATGGATATTAAAATTTTTCTAACAACTGGATTTAGTAGGGCAAACATTTTTTTACAAGATGTCTTTCAAGAAATCTTTTTTCTATAAGTACTGGATCAAGATGAACGGTTATTTTATTGAGGCTCCTGGCGGCAGCAATTGTAAAAAGTTTCTTCGATTTTTAAAAGTACTGCCCCCAAGAGCCCCGATAAAATAACCGTTGCATGCCTAAGATAACGAACACTTCCATAGCTTGTAGAAAAATGTTTACTCTACAAAACCCAGTTGTTAGAAAAATTTTAAAGAATATTTTCATATTTTTAGAGCGAAATTTCGGTTATTTTTCTCTATATAGAATGAAATAGTTTAATCATTTTGTAAGGTGAAGAATTTAATAATTGAATCATCAACGTCTCAAACAGAAAATAGTCGATTTTCATGATGAAAAAGGTGGTGTATCTCTTCTGAGGATGTCTTTTGAATAAAGACGAAACGTCTCAAACAGAAAATAGTCGATTTTCATGATGAAAAAGGTGGTGTATCTCTTATTATCTATAATGAAATAGTTTGTTTAGTTCGTCCGTATTAGAGATAAAAGAGGCTATTTCGAATAAGGCGTTTGGTCTTTTTTTAAAAGACACCAAGACCATATACAACAGTTAACCCCACATACAGAAAAAGGTTATTTTTTCTTAATCATTCTTTGTGATAAAAGACTTATAAATGAAAAACAAAATGAAAACTGGATTTCTCCAAAAACTGGCTCGAATCCCTTTCTCAGATTTCACGAATTTTTACCCCGAGTCCGAGTCGATTTTGAGTAATAACAAAACGCGACTCGAGTCTGAGTCGTGACTCGAACTCGTCTAGCTCTAGTTTTGTGTTAGAAAGTAATGAAGAGTGACACTTTGCAATATTTCACCTATATTCTTTTACTTTTACGATATATAAAAAAATGTTCAATACGATTTCTGCAGAGAATTAAACGAAAAATCATTTACAAAAACAATCAGCTCAAAGGACTCGATGGATGGAGAGATATAAGTAACATACTGAGAAGGTCATTATTATTTATTTTTTTTTGTTTAAACATTTTTTATTCACGAAATAATAGTAAAAAAAAGTACCACAACAAAAAAGAAACACATCTACGGCAAACCGGGATACCCCATTCTATACCGGATTCTACATGAACACTATAGAATAAAATGAGTATATAGAGAAGAGAGATTATAGTAGTGTTGGTGAAGAGAGAGAGGAATGGGAATCGACTCCTAAGACCCACTCTATTCATGTGACATCCCGCTCATGGAGGCTTAGTACATCATAACTGATTGAATCTTCCGGTGGCATCAATAAAGTGGATGATGGCTGTGTACACTCGTATTAGGTCCTGTTTAGGCAGTACTCGGATAGATTCATGTTTCAAAAGTATATGCTCCAACGTAATATGATTATCTTTAAGGACAATACGCACCTCCTCAAACATTAGATTATGAGACTTGTCATAAAGAGCACAGTCCATGAAAAAATGTTTAGTAGTCCCTCCACGCCGGTGACTTTTCTAATCCACCTCTGGTGAAGAGATAGTGATTTAGTTGGGGATTATCAACTCTACATCGCGTGTGATGTATTTCCAACCACCGATCATGCATTAACGATAAACGAAAGGACGGAATACATTGTAAGACTAATCTGAGTTTGAAATCAGTCAGTTTATGTATTGAACGTATATCATTAGGTAGAAGATTTCATGCACGAATACCCTCCCGAATGGTCATTATTTCTGAGTCAGTTGTTACATTTAAAGTTCTATAGATCAGTTAAGAAACGTCTGTTCGAACCAGTCTGAGTATTACTGGCAGAGTTCAAACTGTTTAGAGTATGTAGTATAAAATTTCTTATTGCGAAGTGTAGAACCGAAAATCCATATAGATAGTACCGAAATGATCTATTGCTCTGCATATATAACACCAGTTCTGTCTGAAGATAAATGCACACGAATCAAGAAATATTAGAAGGTCACGATATTGTAACAGTACTTCAAAACCCTCATTTACAGATAATATCAAAGGGCAACCTTGTATTGTTTTTTCAAACTTGGATAAAAGAAGAGTTTTTTTCTCTTTGAATCAGCTAAGTTCTATCTAACCATCAGTATCTAACCATTGTATGATAATATTCTCATTTTATCAAATAAATGCATCGAATCATCCCTTCTACTTTTCAATCAGGACTATTAAGCATAACGTGAGTTATCTGAAACTTTTTCTCATCTTACTGACAGTCACAGAGTTTTTAAATCTTGAAGTGTTATTCGTCTGAATGAATTTATGAAACCGGAGCATGATTTCTTTAAAAAGCTGTACAATAATAACATAGTTAAGGTTTAGCATGCATAGATGATTGTTCAATTAGTTTTTTATATATAAAATCAATTGTATCCGGTGAAGTTACTGCTCGTACAATATTTTTTAAAAAATCAAATTCGTCTGGTTCTTGTAGTAGTTGCTTTTCTTCTTTTGAACTTTCATCGTTTTTACATTGCTGATAGTGCATAGTTTGACAAAAGGGTTTTTCTTCCAATGATATTTGTCCGATATGGTGAGCAGGCATTATTTGCACATTCTCTACGCAACAACGTTTTATTGGAGGTTCTACTGGATCATGTATATCATTCTCATCTCGTTCTTGTTGTTGTTGTTGTTGTAAAAGATTGGATAGAATTGTTAAATTCGTGAAATTATCAGTCAATATCTAGAAATAAAGAACAAAGCATTGTTGTCACTATAAAATCAACAGTGTTATGTAACAAACTTCATTATGATTAAGCCATTGAGTAGGTTCATACATGTGAGCTGTCATAATTGATGATATTAAATATCTTGAAATCATTTCTTTCGTACGTTCAACACTATCGTCAGGCTATAAAAAAATATATTGATTAAAGTGTATGAAAAATAAAATCTCAATATTTTACTTGTTCAAGCCAAGTATTGAGTGAAATTGTCGTTTTGTCAAGTGAATAAACAAAATGCCACCAATGTTTTGGAATAAATAGAACATCTCCAGGTTTTAATATAATTTCTATTGTATCAACATCCTATGCGATAGATGAAAGACACATTAATGAATAAAAAATATCATCACTTACTTTAATGCTTTCAAATATCTGACGATTTGTCGAGACAAAATTTATATTGGCATAGACACTTGATTCTTCGTATGGTATTCTTGTTTGCATTTTACTAATCGCAGTTTTAGGAGAGAATAAAAGCCACCGCTTTCTAAAACGTATGTTGGTTAATAAACGAATAATAGAAAAAAAAAAATTAGAAAAAATAACTTCTTACCGACCAAAAACTTGTAAAACAAAATTAATTCCATATGTATCAAAATGGCATGGTGTATAAGCACCTTGAGATCCAATCCATAATGTTGAATCGATACTATTTCTTCTCAGACCAATTTGAGACCAATCAATAAGCTAAAAGAATAGAAAATAGTTTATAAATAAAAATTAAAAAAATATATCTTTTTACTTTTAAAAAAGAATCATCATCCGCAAACAATTCTCTAAAATGCATATAATCAGCATAGGCAAAATAATCTTTATTTGAATAATTTGAAAATTCATTATTGTCTACCAATATCTGATCATTATTATTATTCCATTGAATAAAATCTTCAACAGTCGCTTGTATATGATGACAATCTTTTTCAAATTGTATACCTGAATACTAGAGAGAAATAATTTTCATTATGTTGAACAAGGTTTTTATTGTACAAAAAAGAAAAATATATATATATTAATTTATATACCAGAATCAATTATTCGTTTTCCTAGTCGAAATGGCAATTTTTTTTTTTTTAGTAGTACAGCAATATGTTCCGGAGTCCATGGTAAATTGTCTCGAATAATTGAAGTAGAGTTAAAAATATACGGTTTATTTAAATCATTGATGGATGTCATCTAAAATTAAGAAAAAATATGTTAAAATAAGTCATATGTATACACATTTATTTGATATTAACTTTATTCTAAAACTTAAATTATAGAAAGTAGGATAAATGATATAATTGTTCATCAAATTAGCCATTTCATCTAACTGATGATAATGTATGATGTAACGAAAGTCTAGCCAAATAGCAAGGTTTTATTTTTAAAATTGATGAATTTTATGCATAAATTTCCGTGAATATTCATTAGTTTTTAAACAAATACGTTTAGTCTTAAAATTATAGCTGAACTAATCATATGTCAGGTGTTCAATGATTTGTATGATTGATACGATCTACTCTTGACTTACTATTATACACATTGAGGTCAAGTTTTAATTGTAATATATGAATGAAAAAAGATTTATCCTATGTTTTTTTAATATCAACCTTTTTTTCTTTTATACACCATTATCTTTCTCGCTAATAACTGTTCTCATCTCCAATATCTCTTTCTTGTGTATATATGCGTGTTTATAATAAATGTGAATTATGGATTTAGTCATAAAGAGTCAAAATTGTTGCATATACACGTACTCCTCGATTTCAATGTTTATTTTATCTTTATTACAGGAGAAAACATCTACAACTATAGAGAATATAACTTTCTTTATATTACGCTCTATTGCGTTTTCAAAAATCATCTCGCATAGAGAACAAAAGAAGACATTTTTTCCGTTTTTTTTTCAAAGGTGACTTTGAAAAATATGATAAAGAGTAAATAAAACTATAGGCGACATTTCTTCTAACCTATCTAAACAAAAAAAAAAGGTTCAATTTTCTACATATTATACTGAATATAATGAACATATAACAAAGAAAACCTTCCATATTCGACTCGTTTGATTTACCTTTAATGTGAAGTAAAGAAGTGATGATGATGAGGATGTACAGTGGGATTTTTTCGTCGTGTGTCATCGTATTCCGTTAGACTATGCGATTTCAAATCAGTTAAAAATTTTAGTTTTTTATTAATAAACAATGGGCAATCGAGTAAGTTGAACGAAATTAATATTTAATTATAAAGGAAACTACTAGTTTAATTAACTTTTGAAGTGACTAATAGCACCAAACGGTAAGATTACCATGTAAGAAAATTATAAATCATTGTCCAAAAAACTTTATTTATACAATCATACAAATTCAATTCAAAAATATTAACTAGAGAAGAACAACAAAAACAATCAAGATGTCATAAGAAAAAAACTGGAAATAAATAAAATACTGAATTATGCAAAAAAATAAATACTATTCTTACATAACCTAGTGTTTCGTATAAAAATTGAAGTTTTTAAAATATAAGATAGATACAACCAGTAAACAAATCAACAAATGTCAGAAACGAGATATTGATCCAAAACAAAAATATTTTATACTTCAGACAGTTAGTTTAATAGTTATTATGTTCGAGTAATCAATTTAGATAAGAAATCGCATTTTCTTCTTGTTAGATGTTATCCATATTTTATTCAGTTCTGATAATTTCAGATGCAACTTGTTGTTGTTGTTGACTTCATATGATGTCTTTTGTTTTTAATGATAAATTATCGTCTTCTTCTTCATCCTCCACGGCATTCTCTGATTCATCCTCTGATGATGAAATTGACCGTTTTTTTCTTTTTCCATTTGTTCCTCCTTTTCGCCCCGATTTCCCACCACCACCACCTCGACGAAATGATATTTTTCGTACGTTCACTTGTTCGTAGTTGAGATCAATTTCTCCACTTTCCAATTGCTTTCGTAAGTTTTGAAATATTTTTTCTAATTCAATTGAATCCGTATAGATAAGAGATGTTTCCATATTGAATGTTTGAGCATTTTTACATAATAAAACAATATCTTGTTCAAAATCATCTAATGTTTCATAATGATAAGTTTCAATACGTCGACGAATACGGTTAAAGTCAATTGGATCTTTAATTGTTTGATAATAGATGGGTAATTGTTTTTGTCCGGGTAAACGAATGAACGGTTGTGACAATTGTCTCCCATCAGAATCATGATAATGAATTAGTTTATCTAATAGAACTTTACATTGCTGAAGAATTTTTGAATCTATATTTTGATGACGTTTTGTTACACTACTACGTTGTTTAGTATTCTTGCGTTGTTGTTCTTGTTGATTGGATTGTTGATATGTGGAATTTGTTGTTGTAACATTTTGAGTTGTACTATCTATGTCATCATCATCATCCATATTAGTTGATGTATCATTTACGAATTTTTTTGTTTGTTTTCGTTGACGTTTTTGTTGTTCGACGTCATCTACAAAGACAGAGAAAAAAGACATTTCACACTTTACACTTGTAATCACATTGTCAAGAATTAACATACCTAAATTTCCTTCTTCTAATGCAGCTAAAAATTCACGTTCCGTCAAATTATCACTGTAATCAACATCTTTACGTTGTCGACGTCCTTTACCAAAGTCATCCTCATTTTCTAATGTTTGTTCAACTTCGTCAACATTTTTTTTTAACCATTCGGGTAATTCATCTTCAGTTATTAAACGATTTGTTTTCATTTTACGTCGATGTTTTATTATTTGTTTTGGTTCTGACTGTTGTAATGGATCATCAATTTCTTCATCGTCATCTTCCAAATCATCATCCAAAATATCTTCATCGTCACTTTTTGCCATATTTAACTCTGAATCAATAACCATTTCCTCATCACTTTGAGCAAGAAATGATGGTGTTAATTTTCTAAATATACAACAAGAAAACAATTTTCATCTTATAACGTCAAATAGATTTTACCTGTTTGAATTTTTTGGTATATCAGAAGAATCGTCGTTCTCACTTGTTTCGTCTTCTAGATCATCTGTTAATTTCATTTTTTTTTGTTTATTTGAGGATTTAAGATGGCTCCCTTTTTTATCCGATTTTTTAACTGGATACGTTGTTTTTGTTGTTTCATCCGTTGTTCTCATCGCTGCGGCAGCCACTCGTCTTTCATGAGCTCCATCCCCTCCACTTCCCACGCCATATTTAGCTTCATATTCTCTTCTAGCTATATCCATTCGATTAAATAAATTAAATTCATGTTCTGTTCGTGCTATCATTTGATTAATTGTTTCATCATCTGGTAAATCTTCTTCATCAGCTGTACCACCACTTGTTTGTTCTTCATCATCTTCAACTAATATTTGTTCTAAAAATTGTTGTCGTTCACTACTTGTTGATGAACGATTAAACATACCGGCTTGTATCACTTTTACATCGACATTTAATTTATATTTTGCACGTGCTAATATTTTCTCTTCAATTGTATTTACACACATTAAACGTAATACTCGTACTTCATTTTTTTGTCCAATACGATGTGCACGATCTTGCGCTTGTAAATCTTGATGTGGATTCCAATCAGAATCAAATAAAATAACAGTATCAGCTTTTTGTAGATTAAGTCCTACACCACCAGCACGTGTTGATAACAAAAATATAAAACATTTGACATTATCATCATTAAAATTTTTTAATAATTCACATCGATCTTCACTTTTTGTTGTACCATCCAATCTTAAATATGTATAATTTCGATAGGAAAAATATATTTCTAATTTATTCATAACAGCTGTCATTTGACAAAATAACAAGATTTTATGTCCAGTAGCTTTTAATTTTGATAATATTCGATCTAATAATTCAAATTTACCACTAACACGAAATAAATCAGGACCATCAATATATCCTTGTTTATATCCTAACGATTCAGCTAGTTTATCTTCAATTTGTTGAAATAAAAATGGATGATTACATATTTTACGTAATTGCATAATTTTATTCATCAAAGCACAACGACCTGTTTTTCCATTGGGATTTTCTGTTAATAAGGTACGATTTTTTGACATGGCAACATAGAGTAAACGTTGCAATGCTGACATTTTACATTTAATGATATATTCAACCTAAACAGAAACAATTCTAAAACAGATTATCTGTATGAATATTAGAATACATACTTTATCTGGTAATTGTGATTCTACTTCTTTTTTTAATCTTCTTAATAAAAATGGTCGTAATACTTTATGTAAACGTCGAATAATCAATAATGTTTCTTCGTGATTTAATTCAACTTTCTCACTTGGTAATGTGGCAAATGGTGCATTAAACCAGTCAGTAAATGTTGTAGCTGATTTAAATATTGTTGGTAAAATAAAGTTTAATAGTGCCCATAATTCGGGTAAATTATTTTGTAACGGTGTTCCAGTTAATAACAGACGATGTGGTGCACTGGTATAATATGTATTTAATATCTGTGTTAATTTACAATGATGATTTTTCATTCGATGTCCTTCATCAATAATTAAATATTTCCATTGTACTTTTGATAATATTGAACGATCACGCATGATATATTCGTATGTTGTTAACAAAACATTAAAACGATTTGTACGTATAGTTTGTGATAACATTTTACGTATTTGTGGTGTACCTTTATATTGAATGACGCTCACATTCGGTGCCCAACATTGAAATTCTGCGGCCCAATTTGATAATGTTGATAATGGAACAACGATCAACGATGGACCTGGATTTTTTTTACAATCTAATAAATGAACGATCAATGCAATTGTTTGAATCGTTTTACCTAAGCCCATTTCATCTGCTAAAATTCCATTTAAATTATTATTGTACAATGATACAAGCCATTCAAGTCCTAGTAATTGATATGGTTTTAATTGACCACCAATTAATAGTTTTGATTGTTCGTGGATTGGTTCAAGTATACGATGTGCCAATGTATAATATGATTCTTTTGCATCATATTCATCATCTTCATTTGTTGCTGTTTGTTTAACTGCATTTCGAATAGCTTCATCGTTCCTTGTTTGATCAATTACAGCGCTAAAAGAAGAAAAATGATTAAAATCAAATTGTCATATCCTATTCATTTATACTCCTACTTTGTTGTTGACGACTCATCAATTTCTTCTGAAACAATAGCTGTTTGATCTTGAGTTTCAGCTTCAAGTGGAAGAGATTCGTTGACTATTGATACAGTTTCTGTTGAGAATTTTGATTCATCAGAAAGTAATGGTTTTTGTTCTGGAGTTGATGTATTGGAATTTTGTTCTGAAACGATTTTTGGTCGGCCACGTTGCCGATTCGTCACTTTTTGTTCTTGCTGGTGTTGTCGTACTAACTAGATATAGAAGAAAAGATCATCTTCTAAACATATTAAGCATTGGTTTGTTTTTATTTATATTACCTGTTTAAGATTGTCAATATATGCATCTGTTTGTGATAGTAAGAGTGCTAAACGTGCATCTTTTTTCTCATCAATTAGTTTCCGATAACCTTCTTCATCTTCATTCATCAGCCGTTTAATTCGTTCTTTTTCATTTCTTTCTTGTTCTTTTTTTAATTCTCGTTCACTATTAGCAAAATAGAGTATAACAGCTTTGCTAATACGTTGTGTTGTATATTGTGTATGTCGATGAAATTCACGAAATTCTTTAACATGTACAAGTATTTGATTAATAAATTTATTATGTTTTTCCTTTTGTCGATGTTCTTGTTCTAATTTTTTTTGTCGTTCATATTGTTCAGTGGTACGTGCTTCACGTAATAAGTGACGTTTTGGACATTTATATGAACGGGGATTTAGAGCTGTTTCTAAACATGTATCTTTTCTCATTGTTGATAATATTTCATTCCGTAGTTGTTTTTGAAATGTTAATAATTTCAATGATTTTAATTCGATTAATGCTTTAGTATTCAAATGATTGTTCGTTTGTACCGGCATTTGTTCTAATTCATTTAGACGAAATGACATACGATTTAATACACGTTTTTCACGTTCTTGTTGAATATGTAACGGATTCAAACTAATTAAATATTCTTGACGACGTATGGGTGGTTGCACATTATTATTACTATTCTCTAAACCAGCAAGCGTTTTGTACATAATTGTTGCTGATGGAAATGTTTGTTGAACATGTTGGTGTTTATTATCAGTAAGAACGATGGTCGCTGATATTGCGTGAGGTGGTTGCTGTTGTTGTTCATTAATATTTAATTGTGATTGAATATACGATGCTAGTTGTGTCTGATAGGAACACGAAGAAATTAAATCATCCGAAACTGGTAAATTTCGAGCTAATAGGCGATAGGTTGAGATTTGAGATTTAAGAACAGATGACCGAACACGATTAAGGTCTGTTTGATCAAGAGTAACTAATGCATTTGGTTCAATGTGAATATGCGAAGACATTATCATATCTAAAACATGAGAACAGCCTATGTCAGATTCTCTCTCGGATTTAAGATTAGGTTCACATAAAAACCCACTGTTTAACTCTCTGCATTTTTGTTGGACCAGCTGCAAAAAGTCTGATTATACAAATTAAAACTTGTCTTTGTTTCTTTTCAGCTTGTGAAACAACCTCCAGTAGGCCAACTAGTACCAGGTGGTAGCAGAGGGACCTTTCCTGTTTTAACTCCAAATTCATTTCTACAACCGGGCCAACTGGCCGGTCCCCAAGTTGGTCAGCTAGCAGGGCTCGGTCAACTTGGCCAGGGCATAGGCATGGGAGCACAGTATCCAAATTTATTAAATAATGGTATGCCAAATTTACTAAATAATGGCATGCCAAATTTACTAAATAATGGCATGCCAAATTTACTAAATAATGGTATGCCACAACCCGGATTTGGTAGTGGATTTAATAATAATAATATGATACCTATGATCACGCCAAACGCTTTTATGCCTCAAAACAATCTACCAGCAACTAATGTTCCACCAATGTTTAATGTTTCAATGCCAACATCGTATCCCCCAATGATGCCTCCTCAAATGCCTATGCCGGCTATTTCTACAGTGATGCAACCCTATCCATTGTATCGTTCTCGTCGTGCCAGATCAATACGTCTGAGAAGAAGACATCATCGCCGTCGTCCAGTTGTGCGCATTATCGAGAGTAGTTCGTGCAGCACGGGTTCGTCCTTTTCAACTTCAGCATCTTGTTCATCTTACCATCGTCATTCTCGTTCACATTCTCGTCATTCAAAACATCGTCAACAACAACCAATTATACTAATGCCAATACAAATGCCGAGTCAACAATGTCCAACACCATCAATACAACAAATACAACCAGCAATTCAACAACAACAGCCGCTAGCTCTTGTTCCATCTGGCGGTGCACATCAACAGATTGTTTTACCTCCCATACAAATTCAAGGAACGACAGATCAACAAGGTCAACCTCTCGTATTGCCCCCATTTCAACTTAATTCGTCAATGTTAAATAGTGGAACAAGTCACAGCCCAATTATTCTGAATGCATCAACTGGAGGTCAATTACAACAGTCTCTCTCAATGCCACAAATTCCACAAGTCCGAATAGCACCAGCAACGCAACAAGGCCCATTTATCCAAGCAGCCTCACCTATTCAATATGTTACAAATCCTTCTGTAGGTGGTAATATTCAGCCTACACGTATACTTGTCAATAATTCAATTCAACCACAAAATCATCCGGCTGTATTATCCACAAGTTTAAGACGACCAATGTCAGCAAATGAAGTTCAACAGACTGACTTGAAATTTGGACGACGACCGTTTGATTGGTATCCGAGAGAAAACACTTTTGTATTAAATGAAGATTTGCAATTAGGACAGAGAGGAGCAACGGTGGTTGCTTGAAACTGTTAAAAATAGACACAACATATTATAATGACATTATCAATTTTAACTTTTGTTTTTCTGCACGAATAAAGCAAACAAAGAATATATTGCTACAAAGAGGACGGAACAGCTGTTAATTATGAAAAGATGTTTAACTAAATCGAAAAGATTACTTGGTAGATGATAATCACAGATTCATAGAGACATCTTTTTTGTTCATTTTTGTCTATGATTTTGTTCATATAATTCCATCCTCAATAGCAATTTTTCATCAAAGAAAAAAAACGCATACTGTTTAATAAAATAACTGAATTGACGGAAAACACAGTGCAGTTAAAAAAATCGTGCCCGTTCCCAGTTTTAAGTGTTACTTTTTACGTTTTAATTGATTTCTGGCTACCAGTGCAAAGGATCCAGAGTTGAGAAAGTACGCGATTTCTTGAGCACGAGTACAATTTTTTTTCACAACAGAAACAAGTAAGAATCTCTGGATTTATATTTTGGCTAGGATTACAATGATTTTTGATAGCGATATCAGTTATCATTTGAAGTATGGAAAAAGCTGATTTCTGTAAAAATGATTCCATATCCGAGTATAGTAACAGAAGTTTTACTCTAAAAATCTTTGAAGCGATAGTTCAATTTGACTAAAGGAATACGAGTTGCATTAAGAAATAAGAAGACATTGAACGCACAAATAATAAAATTAGCTAATCCATTCGTTTGCACCGAAGTGATCGTATAGCTAAAACAAAATAATTAACTGTTAAAGATATTTCCACATTATCGGTTCTAACACAAGAATTTAAAGCCAAATCAGTACTGAGAATATAAGTTACTAAATAGCGGACATAACATTGATTTAGGCGATATGCTTGGAAATACTATAGCTGTCATATGTGCTAAAAGCTCTTTCCACTAGTAGAATATATGGATTTCATTCTTCACTTTGCCGACATATGGGTAAAGATAATATCGTTGTTGATTTACAACCAATTCAAAACTTGTTCATTTTTATTGATCTATACTACATATTCAATTGAGTTCAATAGAATAATTTGTGGTTAGTCAATTTTCGAGAACATGTGACAATGAAAAATGTTTTTTTAAAAACGTAACCATTGACGATTTGTATGTCATAACAGTAGTCATCTAGAGATGGAAGATTCAAGGCAGAGAGATAATAACTGCACACTATTTCCAAACAGAATACACATACAAAAAAAGACCTATCGTTCAAACGTTTAATAAAACAACAATCAAAAAAGAATCTGACAGTGTACTACATACAGACGACGAAATAAAACAAAGTTGGTTACAAAAAAAATTAATAACTTGACCTTGGCTTGGCTTGGTTGAAGCTTATTTGAATCTTATTGTACTCTATAAACAAGAAATAATTGACTCTAGTGTCTCTTGGTTTTAGACTCAGACGTTAGTCTTTTGATCGGATGATTTTCGTCCACTCAGGTCAAAACTTTCTGGAACTGCGTGGTATTATATCTCCGATTTAAAAATTTTAACACATTAAATAGCAGACTAATACGAAAAAACAAAACTGATACAAAAAATGTAAGAAGCACGTTATTGGTTACAGAAAACGAAACAGGTGGAATAAGTGAGAGAACAATCATGACAGATTCGTGAAAATCTCTTGTGATCCTCCATAGCTAATAAAAATTTCATTATCAAAACTAAAATAGATAATCATACATTTAATGAGGCTTTTACCAGCGTTCTTAGCATAATATATTCTGTTACTTTCTGATGAAATGTAGTTAAGTTTTTCTATTTGGTATATGCTTCGTGCCCTCTATAATAAACTATCACTTCAATACAGAATATTAATAATAGTGCCGAGAATGCACAAAAAGGCTTGGTTATTAGACACTACAAGAAACATGAATATAGAATGATGATAAAAACAATCACTCACTTTTACAAAACCTGAAAGCCGGCAAGATTTTACTATGCTAGGTTTATAGCCCGTGTTGAGTGCATTCTTTGTGTAAGAATCCAGCTTTGACCCCGATCTAGGTCATTCGATAAGGCTCAGGAATTACAAGGAGTGAAATTGGTAATTTTCCCCTATTTTCAATCGCTCACTGCACTTTTCTAAGAGTGTCCTAAGAGTTCGGAGTGTGACCACCGCAAAGAGCATGTCACATACTACACTTCACCCCCCAAAATAGAATTTTTCGTTTCCAGTTATCAACAAAATTTTTAAATAGGGCGTCAATGAAATGCGATAACTTTTTTATAAAAATAAAGCTCATGTCATAATTTATCGAGCGGCAAGAAAACTAACTTTATGCCATTTTTCGTTCGCGAGATAGGTGTCACAATGTAGCTCACCCTTAAAACACGGCTTCCTCTCAACACGTCCCTCTTCAGAATCAAACGTTAACTTTTTTTTCAAAACCTTTTTCTGAGTAGTACTCATCAAGATCTCCAACTTTTCTAGCAACCATTTCCTCCACCTATTTGATCCTGAGCCCCGGTTCGAGCTTCAAAAACTCCAGCATTTCGCACACAGTTGGGCCATGTTGCGAGTGAATTTATCCTGTAATTTTATTTTTAAGATGAAAATAACAGTCAACTACAGTAAAATATTTATGCTGAACAAGAACCTGACACTAGGTAAGTCAAGGAGAATGGCAGAGTTTGGACTTTTATGGATTTTGAAAGTCCAAAACTGGACTTGAATCTGCTGCTTTCTTCTTGAAGTAAATCCTCTAGTCTTTATATGTAAATTTAAATAAAGTTTTGTAAATTGTTATTTTCTTTTAGCTCCAAATAACAGCTCTACAAAATGGCCGACTCCAAGATGAAAAAAAGCATTGTACGGAACGAATAAAAAGCTATGTCATTGGATAAAACTTTGGTGAATAACCATGTTTTGCATATATGTTGCTTAGTGTCTAGGCGGAAACTAACTGGGTGGTTCATTTGAGAGCATTATAAGAACTGAAGAAGTTCTTTTGGACTGTTTTGTGTCATTTTATCAGGTCGTATTCAAAAAAATTGATTTGATTAATAGAAAGTCATCATCCATTTTATAAGAAATATGTGTCCTATCTGATAAGTGTTTTGTACAGAGTTCCCAGACCTTCTGATATTCTAGTTTTTAACAGTTTTTAATTTTCTACTGGAGAAGATGGATATTGTGAAAAAAGGCTGATATAGAAATTAAAACATGAAGCACGCAATTTTGTTCTGCATGTGTCTGTTTGTCCCATCTCTTAAAGGTGAATGCACGTGTATATATATATTCGATCTTCAACGAAAAAAACATTGAGTTGAAAATCTACCACAAGTTCTTTAAAGATTTTGTTTCTTGAAAACTTTTGATCAGGATCCACTCACTGCAGCTGAGTCTAACGCATCCTGAGGAATCTATATAAGATCTTCAAAAGATTTAATGAAGAAAATTACACTTGTTGTTCTCTTTATCATCGTTTTTCCCTTGACTTTAGTCTAGGGTCTTACAAAATGTGGCTCAACCACTGCACACATATCTGTCTCTCTGTCTGTGTGTGTGTGTGAGCAAAATACGGAAGTGACTAAGATATTCCATGGATATGCCAATCATAAGGAAAAAAAATGGAAATTCCTTTTAACCATGAGCGAGAATATATTCAGAGAGATGATCTGAGATATCGTCCGATCCAGAGAGAAAAAAAGCTAAGCAAATCTTTCCTACAGTCCCACGATAGATGTCGCTAGAAATCAGTCAGTTTTGATAACACAAAAAAAAGTCATCTATATGGATAATAAAACTTACAGAATATAGATAGTCTATCATAGGGAATCGATCAGATATACTTCCAGCCCTTCTCGATATTCAATTACTTTACAAAGATATTCTACAAACATTTGTTCACTATACACAGAAAACCAATGATAGTACATAACTGGCAATTTTGAGCGTCTTCTTTGTATAACAAAAAAATGCTATTATGAATTGTACATGTTCAAACAAAAATTCATTTGAAAACTGTACATGACGATAGCTGCAAACGCACAAGATTTTGGTAAGGTCGAATTTACCACTGCTAAAATAGTTCATCTCATTAAATTCATACAACCATTTGAGAACAAATCATTCTGAACAATTTGAAATCGATCAATTATCTCCCACAAAAGTGTTCATGATTTATCTGATCTGCAGCTACAAAACAATGTAACATCATCGGCTCAACAAAATGGAGCACATCTCACTAGAGCAGCTACAACTGAAGCTTCACAGCGGAGTGTTACTCAAGTTAAAAAAAAGGAATACGTCTGACTGCCAGTTATTTCGTGATTATTGATGATTCTTGTTTTATAGCGGATAAATCAGCAATACAAAATACACAAGACAGACTGGGAAAATCGGAAGATATTAGAGCATGATAGGACTGAATATCGATTACTAATTAAAGAATCTCTGTCTATCTCATTATTACAACCTGATCTCACAGTACGATCAGTTCCACTGATTGTATTCCCAGACGATTTGTCAAAGAAAAATGAAATAACATTTGATCCAGGCGGCGATGAAAAGAATGAACAGTACATATATGAATTAACAGTTGAGTTAAGAAAGTACTTTTCGTGTAGTAGACAGTAGATGTGGGCGAGACCGAGACGAAAATTTTTTTTAACGGGATCGGAACCGGGACCACAACTTGTAATCTCTAATTGCCTTTTTGTGCATAAATTTCTAATTAATATCTAGAATACGCGTTTCTTTCTTTGTCTTTATATTTATTTATTATACTTTCAAATAGTATTTTTTGCCTCGGTTTCTGCCAGTGAACTTGATCTATCACAATCACTGTAAAACATTTTTACACTTTAAATGTAAAAAAAATCATAGATGAAGCGTGGTAAACATAGTCCAATAACGGGATATACCACGCTTCATCCGTATTCTTACTGTATGTGGGCTACTTTTTTACGTACTTAAAGTGTGGTACTACAATTCTATTGGGTCTATATTTTACCATCTTATCATGAGTAGAGCGTTCTTATAC